AGCGTACTAGTGCGTTGATGTAGCTACTGTTGGACATGATAGACGGTGATTGATATTGCTATTGGGGTGTATTTACGGGGGTCTGAAGCAGCTGTGAGTAGATGATGAAAGATTGATCTTGGGCTGAGTATTCGGCGATGACCGTTGGCCTTCGATCGCTCTAATACATCTGCTCGGGACTCGGCAGTCCAGTCAGTCACGTTACGACACGTGCACTGTACACGTGTACCCACACACGGTACGATACCCCCAAACCAACAAGCTCCATACCGATTTCCCCCTCCCCTGGAGAGCTGGTTGTTGTCACCGATATCGTATTGCTGTTGTTTCCGGGGGTGCGATTGCCTATATGTACTACAGTAACGAGTCATCTCAGAATGTTGACGCGCACAAAATGGACTATGACAGCCATTCAACTTTTGTCCATTTTTAGCATTGTTAGCGTTGCGGTCGCTATTGAATGTGATCTTTACATGGCCGAGTCGACGATTCCGAATGCTGGACTTGGTATATTCTCGGCTATTGAACGCAATCCGGGAGATAATGTGGGACACGGTGACATTTGCATCCCCATTCTTGATCTCAACAATTACCATAAGAAGGTTTGGAATCCATTCAATGATTACGTTTGGGCTGGAGAAGTTATGGGAATGAAACTGGAAATCGAATCCGCGGATAAAGAGGCACTATGTCCAGTACGTAGGAAGATGTTTGGTGTCATCATGATTAAACCTTTCTCAATGTTAGTTTGTTGCTTTGATGCGTCATCCAAATTACACTATAGGGTTTGGATTGTGCAATCAACTGCAACTTGGCTTTGATCAATGTTGCGAAAGCAAATCCAATATACGACGACGGCCATCTCCATCGATATTTGCATCCGGGAGCTGGTGCGATTACACCCTACCACAATGGCACAACGGTAGTGACGAGAACAATCCCCGCAGGTGGAGAGCTATTTAAAGTGGGTGATCGAGTTGCGTTTCTACTGCAGTGAGCTCTATTCAAAGACTTACCATTTGCGCATCATTATTTCTCCTTCCTTTGTCTCTGATTTCATATCTAATAATCCAATTATAGTTTTACGGCGACGCTTGGTACGTAACAGCGCGATGAAGATTTTGACATTGTCTCTGGAGTTGAAGTTAACATTGGGACTTGCCATAGGTTCAACACTCGACCAGTCTTTAATTCGCTCCCCCTTTCTCACGACTATCCGTGGGCACAGCACCTTCTGAATAGTTTTTTTGCAAGAGTCCAACACAAGGACAAAGCATTCAAATCATCAGCATATGACGAATTAATGGTTTCGATCCGATCTATTTGGAATTCTAGGACGCTAAACGCCTTGCCAACGACATTCGACGAGGCAACCGTCGCCTTCGAACATGATATTGGAATGGTCTACCAGCCTAACGCTACGAGATCTCTTCAGTGGCTAGAAAAACACGGAAAATGCGTCGACCACGTCTCACCAGGGCAGTCTACCATTGAAGGAGCTGGACACGGCGCCTTTGCCACAAGGGACCTTCCCAAGGGCACAGTCATTACAGGCTCGCCTCTCCATCACATTCCAATCAAGGAGAACTTTATGCCGATGTTCAGGGCCTTTCATAACCAAGACGATGTGGACGAAAAGCTGAAAAGTGAGGTCGCCGGGCAGCAAGTTCTGCTGAACTATTGCTTAGGTCATCCAGAGTCGACGTTGTTGCTATGCCCATGTAAGTAGGACGAATGTTGTCTACTTTGCGACAACCTTGGAGGAGATCTAAAGCCAAAATTTACTCTCGAATGGCGTGATACTCAGATGGAGCCGGTGTGGGCTACATCAACCACAACCAAACACTGGCGAACGTGAAGGTAATATGGGCGAAAAACGGGCAGTTTTCTCATGACGCTACTTGGCTGAAGAAGGGACCTGATGAAATGTTCACCACGCAAAGTGCTCGTTTGGCATTGGACTATGTGGCTACGCGCGATATTGCATCGGGAGAAGAGTTGTTCCTGGACTATGGCGATGCGTGGGAAGAGGCCTGGAATAGTCACATTGAAAAGTGGAAGCAGGATTCTTTGGCTGAGAACTACTTGGGAGCACGGAATTGGAATGAAGTGATGGCGTCGTCGCCCATTAGAACTTTCAAAGAAGTCTGGTATGACCCTTATCCGCAGAACGTTCACCTGCGGTGTCACGTTGATATCATCGAGGACGAATGGGAACCATCTTCAAAACTTGATTGGGATGCTGGGGAGTATGGGTTTGAGTGCGAGGTCACCGAGAGAAGGATAGAGGCTGACGGTAACCAAATTTACTCCGTCAGAGTTCTAACGGAAGAAATTGATCGTTGGGACACAGAGTTTGAAGGCCCGGAGTTGCTTGATGTAGACAACGTCCCTCGTGATGCAATCCGTTTCTTTGATGTACCTTTTTCCTCAGATCTATTCATGGAAGGCACATTTCGGCATTTCATTGGCTTGCCTGATCACCTGGTGCCCAATGAATGGAAAAATCTACCCAAGGAAGCTAAGAATCGACAAAATACGGAGCTCTGAATGATTCACAAATAGGCAACTGATTCGCCATTCAATCTGCAAGATTGATAGTTTGGTGAGGCCTGGTCATGGATTACAGTACTAACATTTTTAAAAGCGTTAGACTGGGATTTTAGAAAAACAGGCCCTGTATTGGCCCGGATTTTACGATGAATACACTTTCTCTGTCCCTGCACTCCAGTTGATTCCTCTGCTCTTGCTCTGTTGACTGGTTCCTTGTCAAACTCAAACGGGGGATTGTTGTACTGTTGCGTGTTGGACGGGAGTATCCCGCAGTTTCTCTTCCTGCCCGCGCGCGCCCTACCGGAATACTAGACCTGTACGTGTACTGTGAACTGTCGATTTCTCTGACTGCTGCTCAAACCAAAAGCCACAAATCTGAAAACCGCGAGAGTTGCAACAGTCATTTTTGTGTGCACAATTCAGTGATGCTCAGGTGGAATAAACAGGGCTCGATATGGCTCGCCCTTGTCGCTATACTGGTCAACTTCATTTCCTCTCATACCTGTTCAGCGATACAGTGTAATGTCTTCCTTGCCGAGTCAACAATTCCGAATGCTGGCCTTGGGATTTTCTCAGGTGTTGAGCTAAACCCTGGAGACCCTGTTGGTAATGGAGACGTTTGTATACCCATTTTCAACGTTGAAAAACATCATGAGGAACCGTCTGATGCCATAAATGATTATGTTTGGGCTGGCGAAGTTATGGGCATGAAATTGGAGGCGGCACCAGACTTGATTGAAGCAAACTGCCTAGTAAGTCTGGATGAATCTTGCAATCTTCGCAGTCCTTGAAAGCTGTCTTTCTCACAACTATAACTATCCCTAATAGGGCCTTGATAGTGCGCTCAATTGCAACTTAGCACTGATCAATGTAGCACGAGCAAAACCAAAATACGATGATGCTGGATTGCACCGGTCCCATGACCCAGCGGCGGGAAGCATAACGCCTTACCACAATGGCACAACAAGAGCGACCATTAAAGTTCCAATCGGAGGAGAATTGTTTAAGGTATGATGCTTTTGTGTTCCGATTTCAAGCCTCGTGGGTTGGCAAAACTTGGCCACTAATTGATTTATTCATCACCTCGCAGCATTACGGCGACGAATGGTAGGTTGTTGCATAACCTCCTGAGTCCAATTTTTTGAATCGCGATTGCTAACGTTTATCGCGAATTAAGGTTTAAAGGACGACCAGATTTGTTTGGAGAATCTTTCCCATTAACCGAAGATTTCGCATCAGCTGAGGAGATTATAAACGATGCCTTCAGCTTTGGAGAAGAAACAGCGAGGAGTATCCTCGAAGAAGTTATTTTTCCAATGCAAAGGATATGGGGCTCTAGGGTGATGAATGCAATACCAAAAACGATTGACGAGGCAAGCATTGCCTTTCGTGAAGGAATTGAAATGGTATATCAACCAAATGCGACGAGATCTATCAACTGGCTGCAAGAACATGGAAAATGTGTCGATCATATCATACCAAAACAGTCGACAATTGAGGGAGCCGGGCGAGGCGCTTTTGCTAAGAGGGGCCTTCCAAAAGGAACCATCATTACTGGTTCACCGCTTCATCACATTCCAATGAAAGACAATTTCATACCAATATTCCGGACACTTCGCACGGATGCAAATTCAGATGAAGCGCCCAGACGAGAAATAGCAGGCCAACAGCTTTTGCTGAACTACTGCTTTGGCCATTCAGAGTCGACCTTACTACTCTGTCCATGTAAGTAGGATGGATGGATCCACTAAAGAGCTGATGCCGTCAAATCTCACAGCGACACGTTCTTACGCTTTGCTTCAAATTCCGAATGTGATAATCATAGACGGGGCAGGTATTGGATACATCAATCACAACCAAACACGAACGAACGTCAAGGTTGTATGGCCAGATGATGGACTGATGTCGCATGACGAGACATGGCTGCGGAAGCAACCAGAGGAAATGATCGAATTCAGTGGTGCTCATTTGGCATTAGACTATGTGGCGACTCGAGACATTGCTGCTGGAGAGGAATTGTTTTTGGATTACGGCGATGATTGGGAAGAGGCATGGAATGGACATGCAACAAATTGGAAATCGGAGAGAATTTGGTCCAGTAGCTATGCCTCAGCAAAACGGTGGAATGAAAAGGTAGATGGTATTCCGCTGAGAACAGCAGAGGAAACTTCAACAGATCCGTATCCTGCAAACTTACATGTCCGGTGCCACTCCGAACTTGACGAAGACGACTGGGGATCTTTTGAAGAATGGCCAGCCTCCGAATATGGCTACCCATGTGAGATCAAGGAACGAAAGAAAGACACAAAAGGTCAGGACATCTACAGTGTCAGGCTTGTAACCGAGAAGTATGATCGTTGGGATACTGAATTCGAAAGTCCACAAGTTCTGGATATTGATGGTGTTCCGCGAAGTGCCATTCGATTTTTTGATGCTCCGTTTACTACAGATCTTCACCTTCGGGGTGCTTTCCGTCTACCTATTGGCATACCAGAAGCAATAATGCCAGCAGAGTGGAAAAACGTTCCTTTCTCAGTTTATTCTGACCCATAGACCCGCATGTCAAATGCTCAAATGTTTATTTGTGAAATGTTGGTGTTATGGCTTATGAAATCAATCGATGACGGAATAAATCTTGTGATTCATGATTTTCGAAAGATCGTAAAATCCCGTCCGTATGTCGACCGAAGGATCCATCGCGAAGACCATTCAAAATATTCAGTATTACCATTTCACAATTTTGGATCTACAACAATATGTCGTGGGAACCATTGATTGTCGAACTTGGAGGTGAAAAACATGGACCCCAAGATGGCGACGAGACGAAAAATCACTACGATAATACAAAGCTATCGAAGAAGGCGTTGAAAGACTTGCCTGCGAATCCCGGTGAAGAAATTGGAATGTTCTATGGTCTTGAGGTTTGTCGTGATTTTGACGTCAAGCTATTGAAAAACAGCAATACCAAAGCTGTCGAAACAAAGCAATCCAAGGAACACGATAAGGAGTCCTCGGAGCCCAAAAAGAAAAAGCGGAAAGCCCCTCCAGAAGAATCCGAAGCTTCGAAAGATACTACAACTTCGAAAAAGAAAACAAAACGCAAGAAAAAGAAAAAGGCAAATGCGGAGCCGTCCCCACCAGTTGAAGAAGAGAGCCTGGATGATGACGAAACTGGAGAAAGTTCTATTGACGAGGATCGCTTCCTAGAGCTGCAGCAAGCCTGGGGAAACGTTCTAGATTCTCGTCTTGAGACCGGTTTATATCGTCAAGGCTTTGTCAAGCCCACCCCAGTTCAAGCAGCTGCGCTCCATCCCGCCATTCTTGGCCGTCGGAATATTGTCGGTGCTGCGCCAACAGGTTCTGGAAAGACTCTTGCGTTCCTCCTTCCAATTCTGCAACACATCCTTCGAGAGGATTTGGCACCTGGAACTCCACCACAAGCAGTCATTGTCACTCCTACTCGTGAGCTTGCGACTCAAATACACCACGAGTGCAACAAGCTGGCGCCAGACACCTGTATGACTTTGGTGGGCGGCATTGCGTTGGTGAAGCAAGCTAGAATATTGGCAACGAAGAGACCCCCAATAATCATTGGAACCCCTGGTCGACTTTGGGCTGTGGTAAGTTTGATTAACGTTCTGAATTGTACCCAATGCGGTCAACGAAGAAACACATCGCCTTATGACAGAAACACACTGTTGAGAACATCGAAGATATTTGCACGTCAGTCTGAGACCGACTTTCATTTGATCGAGCGTTGATAGCAATTCGCGCACTAACGTTTGCTTTTCTTTGTCACTCAGATCTCCAGCCAGGAGCACGAACACCTTAACGACCTTTCACAAATACGCTTTTTGGTTTTAGATGAAGCAGACAGAATGACACAAGATCACTGTTTCCCGCAAATGCTATCAATTCTTGAAGCAATCAATGAAGCAAACCTAAGCCCTGGATCAGATGATGAATCAGATTCAAGTGACGATGAGGACGATGCAGATGATGGTCGCATGTCGTCATTACCGGGCGTCCGAGGCGAAGCAAAGGTCACACTTCTTACAGACGATTTGCTTCAGCAGATCGAAGAGCAGCGGGCGTCCACTCAGCCCGGTAGGTTCGAGGTACCCGATGACGAGTTTCCGAACAACCGCGATGGGGAAGAGGAAGAAAAGGGAGTTCATCGTCAGACGTTTATCTTTTCTGCAACACTGACGCTCCCCTTCACGTCACTGAGCGAAAAAACGAAGCGGCGTCGCACCAAACATGGTCTTGATGGAGGCATTGCGGATATCCTGGATCGTACAAATTCGATGGGGGAGACGAAAGTGATAGATTTGACTTCATCCAAGACAGAATCTGGATCGCCATCTGAATTTGGACTACGTCTCCCGCCTGGACTTGTTCTTGAGCAAATCAAGTGCACGCAGATGCACAAAGATTCGCATCTATACGCATACTTGACGACTACAGCGCAGGGATCATCTGGCCCATGCCTCATCTTTTGCAACTCCATTGCAGCCGTTCGACGCGTTGGCAAAACACTTGAACTCCTCCGATTTTCTGTGCGCATTCTTCATGCGCACATGCAACAGGTATGTCGGAATGAGTGAAATGCAGTCTCTTCGGTGGCGTTGAGGAAGAAACCATTGATGTTCCTGAACCATTAATGGTCCGTTTCACTCTTGGTCAAAATGGCCTTGGAGAAATTGGTTTGGTTTTCTGTGAGGGTTATCGTGTGAACAATCTCTGAGCTATCACTTCTAACGTGGGTTAGATTTCCATGAATATGAAGCATATGCCTAACCCTTTCCGTTTTTTTCATTATCCCCAGCGTGCACGATTCAAGGCTGTCGAATCCTTGGCTGATTCCGGGAAACGAACTGTTGTCGTCTGCACTGATATCGCAGCAAGAGGTTTAGATATTCCTTCTGTGGCAACGGTTGTCCATTACGATGTTGCTCGCAGTGTTGATGGCTTTGTTCACCGCTCGGGACGCACAGCGGTAAGTCACTAGCAGCGAGAACTGTTACAAAGAAGGACGATGAAGAGATATCAGGTATCGGACTAGAGTCTCCAAACATTCAGGGGTAGTAGCCAGAATTTGAGGATAGGAACTGATTCCCTTGGCTGTCTGAGTCCTTTTTGTTGAATCAAACAGTTTGCACCTTCATCTGAAAATACCTCACTCTCCTCTTTTTCAATCTTTTTCAGCGTGGAATCGGCGAAGGGGCAACGGGAACAAGTCTCTCTTTGGTGTCACCTGCCGAAGACAAGAGCCATTCAAAGATTGTTGAAGCATTGCAGGTCTCATTTTCGAAGGTGATGCTGGATGGAAGATTGATGACCGGTGCTCAAGAACGTACAAATCTTGCATCCAAGATTGTCAAGGCTTCGGAGCTCGAACAGAATATGAATTCAAACAACAATTGGTTCGTGAATGCAGCCAAAGAGGCTGATATTGAAATCGATGACGACCTCGTGGAAGACGAGTCGAACATGGCTCTAAAGGATCAGCTGCTTATCAAGGAAGCAAAAAGAGCAAAAGTTCTGCTGCAACCGTTGCTATCAGAGCCTATGAAGACTCAGCGCTTTGGGAAATTCTTGTCGACCAATAGCGCCGTCATGCAGACTCAAATCGCCCCCCTTGCCATCAAAGATACCAAGGCATCAACACAGAAAAAGAAGAGTAAAATTAAGGGAAAGGGAAAGAAGAAGGGCAAGAAATGATAGTTCCGATCAGAAGGTAACGCACAACCTGTAAACCACTAGAGTAATTTTTAAACCATGTAGAATATGGACTACGCGGCACAATGATATATGTATGTAGCGGGAAAATACATTCTATGTAGATGCTATATCTTTGTTGCAGGGAACCGCCGATATTGTATCTCTGGCCCCATACTGTATGATTGCCAGTTTACTCATCGACATTGCCGATAAGATCAATGAGTTCTGGTTCCTTTCCTGGAAGACCCACAACTTCGACTTCGAAGACGATCTCCGCATTTGGTGGAATGCGGGGCTTTCCAGCAGAGGCCTTTCTCCCTTGTGGTCCGAAAGCAAGTTCTCCCTGTTTATTCATTGGAACAAGTTGAGTCATTAGTTTTGAATGACTCAATTCGTATGACAAAAATGGTCACACCAAGCACGATGTGTAACTTACGGGAATGGTCAACTTCCAGCGATCTCCGACAACCATAAGTGGCAATGTAGTTTCAACACCCTTCAACAAAGCGCCTGATCCCAAACGAGTGTAGTATGGCTCTGGGGTATCAAAAATGTCGTCAATTTTGTTACTCCCGGCAAAAGCAAGAAATCGGATGGCAATCAATTCACCGACTTCTGGCTTGGGCCCGGATCCCTTCTTGACGACTTCGTATTTGACGCCTGCAGGAGTTGTTTCGGCTCCGCTTGGGATAGATGTGAGCATCCAGCCAGCAGCGACGCCTCCCATGGTCTTCAACATATCCTGACGTGACAGTTGTACGCCATTGACAGGAGTCCAAGCTTGTACCATGGAAGCACAGAGAGCAATAACAGAAAGGATGGATAGGCAGCGCATGATTGTTGCTTGGAATAGGATTCTAGCTTTGTACAATACGCACAGGAATGAACTGATCTAGGGATGGCTAGTGACTTGGTTGTGGTGAGGTGTCTTTCGAGTCAGATGATGGTGACAGGTGACAGATTTGGATGATTGGATTTGTTTTTGCCACGTACTTTTTCGGACAGCAGTTTACAATTTACGGACGAACACGGACACACTTCTGACACCTTTCCATGATGACAAAATTGAAAATGTGACACCCCACCATCGACAGTGAAAATAGAGTAACACAACAGCACGTTTCCCATGCTTCTACGAATCTAATGGTACATAAGTCCAAAATGAGAGGACTGTACACTATCTCAGCTTCGAAGCATACGACATCGAGAACCAAAGACTACAACCTGCATTTTCACCGAAGTGGTTTCATCAGGCGGTCATCAATCGTTTGTCGGGAAGGCCAGACTGGCAGTTCTTCTCCTGCAAGCTCCACAACAATTCTCAGAATATCTCCTACATCATTACTATCACGGATTCCGCTACTTATTTCTTCACCAAGTTGGGCGTTGGGGAGGCGGAAACTGTCGACTTCTATGCAACACAATATCAAGCGATCACGCCGTTTTTCATCGAGACGGAGAAAGGCTCTAGCAACTTGTGCGAACGCTGTGTATTTCACTTACTGGAGGATTTCTTCAATAGAAAATAGAATCTTAAGAATGATGGCTGAACCACAAGAGGCTATGCCCACTCTTAACACCACAACAACGAGGATGGCGGAAAGCCAATTGAACACATGCAATAAAACCATCACAGAGTCCAATTCTTCATCCACTGTCTACCACCATGACAGAGTCATGATGATGACAGTGGAACCTCCGCTTAACATTTCCATTGAAACTATGGCGACCGGTGAACCTTCCCGAGTTAGTCATGATGTTCTTGTCGGTGATCACAGAATTCTGTCCAGCATGGTTTCATCGAAAATGGAGATGATGGGGGTCTCAGTGGCGTACCCAGTAGTATTATGATTATAACGACCGACGAAAGCAGTATAGCTAGGGACACTGATCGTAAAGCGCTCCGGATTGATCGTCGAAAGCGAATGGGAAGCTTCACGAGCGTCGCTCTCATGGATGGTCATGAACATCAGAACTGGAAGCAGAAACTGTCCAACGGAGCGGGCCATTTGTGGCAGAAAAACAAGGTTGCAATTACGTCTGCCATTGCGGCTGGCGCTGGATCCGCTGCTGGTTCGACTGTGGCTTCGTTCTTTGCATCCTCGGCTCTAATATCAGGGTTCATTTCGGCAACAGTAAGCTCATCGGCATCCATTGCGGCATCGTCTGTAGCAGCAAAGGCGGCGGCAGCAGCAAGAGAGCAAATCGGAAAGAAAACGGACTCTGCCAATTGGAAGACTGCTCTCCCATCCAGAATTATATGGGAGGAGTATCATGATGTTATGCCATACTTTTGAGCTGCAAAACGACGCTTCTGTCAAGCAGTTCAAGCAAAGCGGAGGTATAAGATCAAGGTATCCACCGTGAGTGTAGCGAGCTGATTCGCTTAAAATTGGTGGCGCATACTACAATGTCAGCTTTCAGCTTCGGCTCCCATACCATTGCTACTTGTGATGCAGTGGCTTTTGTAATGACATTGAAAATTACAACGGGAACCTTTATTGGTGTTGGATAACAAGTCCTTCATACAGTGTGTTCTCTCTGGGCATGCTTGATACGTTTGACTGATTTATTGGAAACTGCCAACTTTAATTCTGCTATCCAAGTATCAATGGCCGAAGTCCAACCCTACGAACATTCGAATGGTACTAGACTGACTCGCGTGGTGCTTAGCTGCAATTTTTAAATGTACAATGTACAAAATCCAAGAGCTTAGGATACGAGAAGTGTTACAACACTTTCTCTCAAGTTTTCATGTTATTGTAGATGTCAAAGTGCTGAAATATGCAGCGATAGTCGTCACCACTTTAACTCAGAAAGTCTACATACAGTACTTCTATCCAGGAGTACCACGTTTGGCACGTTCTCGATCACGTTCTTCCTTCTCCAATTCAAACGTTCGAGTATCGACTCGGTTCAAAAAGTCTTGCTTCACCAAGAATGCGTCCTTTCCTTGAGCCCGTTTTTCCAAGTCTTCTTGTAATTGTTTATCGGATTCTTTGAAACTCTCCCAGTCATTGTTTGTTTTCTCGACCGTGTTCATTTTGTTGGGTCCTTTGAGTTTGTCTAGTATATTGTCAATCTTGCCAGCTTTTTTCTTTGGTTTTGAGGATGCCGATGATGCTTTTGCTTTGACGACTTGACCAGCAAAGACTGTGTCTTCCATAGCAACAGATTTGGTGGTTTCTGGAAGTACAATATCCTTATAATTTACTATTGGTTGTTTTTCGATCCGTCTTCGCTTGATGGAGCCCCGAACATTCAGTATTCTCGCAGTTTTGGTAGTTCCAAAGATATCAACAAGGTTGCGAGCCATGCCTGTCATGTTGGTATCATCCAATGCAAATGTTGTCCCCCAAGAATAGCCAAACAATCGTTCAAAGGCGTCATCGACCTTGTTGCCGGTAGCTTTGCGTTTGGCATTGGATGTATCCGTTGACGCCTGTTCCTCTTGCACCATTTTCGATCTCAGCTGTGCCGGAGGAGCTGCTGGCGATAAGATCTTATTGTTGCTATGTTCTGTCTACTACAGTAACAACGCACTACCGGTACTGTACCTTTCGATTGTTGTGGCAAGGTGGTTTGACCGGTGGCCAAAATCGTCGACTCAAAACAATCGAATGAATCGAATGTCAGTTCGGATGCAGAAAAAAGAAAAATTTCTGTCGCGATCCGTCTGACAATGAACTGAAGTGAAACTTCCATCAGAAAACTGTCATTGTGGCTGAGGTTGTGTTAGTGAGCAATACAGTTAAGTTTCCATTCCAAAAGTATCATTGACGGCAACAGAAAGAAACTAGAGCCAGGCAACTGTTATCAACAAAACAAGAGTATTTCGAATCATCGGCCATTCGACAAATCGAAAGCAGCATGGGGGGAGCAAGTTCTCGATTGGACCAAACGCAATGGTGGAATGCCGATGGGGAGCTGAGCAAAAAGATTAAACAATCGGAGAAAAATCATCCCACCATTTTACCGGCTGTAGAACCAACGTCAACCTTGGAAATTTTTGACATTATGAAAAGCAAATCGCTCACTGCGACGAGAGACTTTGAAGTCAAAGACAGTTACAAAAATGTCATTTATGCCACACGAGCTGTGCCAGGAACAATGGCTTGGTTCGATGTGATCAAACCGGGAGTCTCAGATAAGTCGCAAATAGCAGAAGGTGACGAGGAGGCAGAAGAAGACACGGAAACAACTGGTGAAGCCAAAGAAGAAGACAAAGAGGAAAAGGAAGAAACCCCAGCTACAGCAACGGAGGGAGATGAGAGTAGTAAAGAAGAGTTCTTGTTGAGAGTCCAAGTAGATTGGAATAGGCGATCATGGACGATTTACACTCTTACCCCAGTTTTCCCTGGTCAGCTGCCTGCGACCCTCCCCATTCGAAAAGGATTGGACGAAGGCTGCGAGCTGTACAAATCGTGCTGTATCACACTCTCATGGAGCAAAGCATTCGCCGTTGTGGCACGATATGGACCACCTAAAGCACGAGACTTTTTGCAAGATGATGAAGAAGAGGACGAACAGAAACAAAACGGAGCAGTTGATGGGGGAGATCATAGTGACAGTTCTCATTCCCTAGGAGAAGATGACTTGTTCGCAAAGGCAGAGTCTATTGCAGCCAAGGAGCGCAAGAAACATAATGTTGATGAGGGTGTTGTGAAACATAATCAATCGCAAACATTTCACCAATCGCAGAACTCCTTGACTTCAGCTGCATCGAAAGGAGGAGACGAGCACACCGGTGTCATGGACACTTTTGCAAAGTCCATCAAGACATATATAGAACCAGCTTTGTTGGAGCACCCTAAAATCCATCTAACGCCAGAAGAAAAACAGCGGTATGCCTTGGAAGGAGTTGTCAACCTAGATGCACCTTTGTTGCAATGCCAAACCGTCTTGGGCCAGAAGAAGAACTATCAGACCCGAGTGATTGACAAAGAAGAAACAGTCAAACTCTGGGTGCTAGATGATACGTGGAATAAAGAACGTTTCCTGAAGCACGAAGACGAGGATCCAACGCAAGGCTCAACGAGAAGTCCGCTGGGAAGAGCTGTCGCTTACGAACTATCGCAATTGGAGAAACCACACGATGCGGAAGAATTGAAAGAGTGGTTCTCAACCAAGTATGTTGATGAAGACCAGCGACACATGGTGAAGGATGATATGAAGAAGGATAATGGAGAATCCTCATCTGCAGGAAAACGAACCAGCTTACTAGAGGTTGGAAAGTCGTGGTTTTCGTTCCGGGCACCACCCAAGAGTGATGGTGATGAAAGTGTTGCCACGCAGGAAGAGTCCGGCGAGATCACGGTTCCAGGAGACAAGACTGAGGCAGAGACTGCTACGGAAGAAGCAAACGTAGAAGCTGACGCGGAAGAATCAGCCAAAGCAAAGGTTTACGGTAGCAATCATGGAGTTTTGGAATTTGACGACAGTCCAGATAGAAAAGAACCATTGGTTTCGTATTGGCGTTGGAAAAACACATATACGACACATAAAATGCAAATGCATTTGGCCAAAAACTCGGATCTTGCGCTACATACCGTTCTGTCCATTGTGCTGAATATTTGGTGATAGAGAACCATTTGTTTGTTCTATTTGTTGAGCGTTTTGAGTTGGTTTATTCGAATGCGGATGGTGTGGCATCTCCAAAGTTGATTTGTAAGCATTGTGGTTTCTTTGTCGGTCACTAGTCTAGCGGCTTGTTCCTAGATATTATCCGTGTAATTGTCAGGAGGTTCAATCTCTAAATCATCGTAAAAGAAGATGTACATGCATTATCTATTATATGACTTAATCTATGTATACAAAGCGATTAAGTGTTCTACAGTTTTCAAGTGGAAAATCCCATTTACCACTTCTTGGTGCATAGGTCAAAGACCCCTTGGACCAAGTCACTGCCGCGCTTGACAACAGCCAATTCCATGCTGGAAGCATATGGAACTGGGGCATCGTCCATACAGAGACGCTTCACTGGAGCATCGAGGAGATCGAACAACTCCTCTGATACGAGAGCACTGATTGTTGCACCAACACCACCGCTCTTCGTAGATTCATCAAGAATGGCAAGCTTGTTGGTTCGGGACAGACTTGTCTTGATTGTCTCCATATCAAGTGGCTTCAATGAGCGGAGCTCGATGAGGTCAATGTCAAAGCCTTCTTCTTGGATTTCTTTAATGGCCATTTGAGCTTCCTTGACACCGTGCAGGTAGGTCAAGACAGTCACAGCATTTCCGTTGTCGACGCAGCTTTGGTCAGCTTCATGAAGAACAGCAGCCTTGTTCAAGGGCATGCACTTGCCAAGATCAACAGGGCCCTTGGCTTCTTTCATCATCTTGACGGGTGCAAACAAAAAGCATGGGCCATTGTCTCTGATCATACTCTTGGTAAGTCCATAAGCAGCTTCTGGGGATGCAGCAGTTCCAATCTTCAATCCTGGAATTCCCATCACGTATGCGTGGAAAGGTTGGCTGTGCTCGGCACCAAGAGCTTGGTTGGGAGCTGTTCCTCCGGCACCAATGATGGTCATTGGCATATCAAATTTACCTCCAGTAGTGGCGAAAGTGTTTCCTGCAGAACTGATCTCGGCCATACCGTAGATTCCAAAGTTGGTGTTCATCAACTCAACAATGGGTCTGTATCCATTGAGGGCTTCTCCAAGAGCCTTACCGATGAAATGACCTTCATCGATGATTTCATCAGCGGCACGACCCTTGCCGTATGTTTGTTGAGTCAACTTGGGGATGTCGTAGGAAGATCCAGCTTGAAGATCCTCGGCATGGATAGTGGTGGTAGGATCGCGAAGCATCTCTTCGTGGACGGCAAGGTTGATGGCATCACCAATGGAAATTTCTCCAGCCTTTGCCTTGGCAGTTAGAGCCTCGATGTGCGCCCTAATGGTGTCCATCTTTTCGGGAGAAATAGTTCGGGCATTAACTTCATCAGCGAAGCTTGGGCCTTCTTTCTTGTTGTAATCAGTGGCTGGGGCATCTGGGAACTCAAGTTCCTTGGCAAGTTCTACTGGTGGCATTGGAGACTTGTCGGCGAATTCAACAGCCTTCTTGACATCAGCAAGAACCTCCTTGCGGGCAGCCTTGAGTTCGTCCTCTGTAAAGACTCCCTTGGTAATGTACTTGTTTTCGAATCCCTTGATTGGGTCTTGCTCTTGGCGGGCCCAAGCCTTTTCTTCCTTGCGACCGCGCTCGTGCTCAGGGTCAGCAGGGGAGTGACCGTTGAATCGGTAGGTGTGGACTTGAAGAATGGCTGGACCCTTTCCGCTACGGATGTAGTCGATTACAGCTTTTCCACCCTTGGCGACATCAGCAGGATCCATACCGTTGACAAGAAGTCCTGGAACGCCGTAGTGCTTTCCTTGTTCATAAACGTTGCTGTTTCTTGCAATATCTGGGGTGAAAGTGTTGATGGCACGTCCGTTGTCAATGACCAGAAGGAGAAGTGGAAGATTGTCCTTTGATGCAGCGTTCAAAAGTTCAGCAGTTCTTCCGTTTTGTGCTCCACCTTCACCGACGAATACGATGGCGATACGGTCGTCCTCCGCTGGAGGAGCAACGTCTTGCTTCTTGTAACTCGCATCATCAGAAACTCCCAATTCACGGTCTAGCAGGATACTCTTCGCAGCACCTGCAGCATAAGGCAACTGCTCGCAAACCAAAGCCCAACCTCCTTGAAAGTAGTGCTCTCTGTCGAAAATGTGCATGGATCCACCAGCTCCACGGCAGGTACCGGTATCTTTCATGAACAATTCCGCCATGACCTCTCCAGCATCAACTCCAGAGGCAATTGCGTGTGTGTGCTCGCGGTAGTAAGAGAGCTTCTTGTCTTCCTTTTTGATGGCATAGTCGACAAGACCAGGGATGGACTCTTGACCGTTGTCAAGATGCATGAAACCACGGATCTTTCCTTGCATGTATTGTTGGTTGCAAGCGTTTTCAAAACCACGGGCCAATTGCATTGCCTTGTACAACTTCATCAGAGCATCCTTGTCGGATTCCAAGGTACTATCGTAAGCGGCAATTTCTTCTGCAGAGTATCCAAAACTTTCTTGCAACTATTATAAAATCAAACATCAAATCAAGAGGTCAAAAAAATGATTTCGTCAATCATACTGCAGCAAATCATGCACAGTACACTGTTCGTATTACGTACTTGAGAACTGATGCTGTCCCATGGCAAGTTAATTGGAGGTCTCATCACTGTAGATTCGGCGTCCTATGAAACATGACCACAAAAGGGTGAGAAAAGATCTTGGCAATCAATCAAATCAATCAATCAATGAATTTGAAGGAATCATGGAAGTTTACATACGGTGGTGGTGGCGGTTTCGGCATCAATTGTGGCAGCCATGGTCAATGGCGTATGTTGAGAAGGAGAGTTAGCCACCATGTTTCTGGAATTCACCGTGGTGCCACTTCGAAAGACAGAAACACTGGTGAGAGAACTACATGGAGGCAATGATGCTCAAAGACAGTGAGGAAGTCGGTCAGATCTTACGTGAAAGCGGCAGCTGTCGCCAAGCAGAATGTAAGTGCGGCAGCAGAGAACTTCATTTTTCTTCCTTCCTAAAATGGATTGATTGCAAGAAGTACAGAATTTTCGTGATAATGACAGCACCAAAGGCAACTCGTATCCTGGTGTCGAAGAAGACGTGGTGCCCCTTGATGTCGTCTCTTGATAACCAGAACTCGCTACATTTCTACGTAGTGACGTACTAAACAAACGGCTTGATCCATCAATGACGTAAACAAAATGAGGGTACATCACCTTGAGACTAAAGAAGCTCCTTAAAAGATGCCTAGTGCTGTAGTCACTGCGAAAACAATGAAGAGAGAGCCTCCAATGATCCCAATCACTCGTTCTGATAAGTATTTGGCAACGACAGCACCACCAGATACAGCAATACCGGTTGCGACAGCATGGGCAGCAATACCTCCAACTGCAACACCAACGGGATTTTGAGCAGCCGAAAGAGCAATGGTTGACAGGAAGGAACGATCTCCAAATTCAGCGGCAAAGACAAGGCCAAAAATACTCAACACACGAGCGCTGATGGAAAGAGAAACAGTATAAGTGCGAAGTTCTAGTCACTAGCAGAGCGATGGAAAAAAATAGGACTGATAACTCACAACGCAGTTTTCCCGCCCTTGCCATCACTTCCTACGAACCCTTCGACCTCTTCTTCAGCTTCCTCGAGCTCTTCGTCCATAATGCTAGTACCTTCCTCCATAGCCAAGGCTTCCTTCAATGTCTTGAAACCAAAGAAGGCAAAGGCCAATACAGCAGCAACATCATCCAATGGGATGCCATCTGCAATACCTGACGGAACAACGTGGAATATTTGTCCAATAAGAACTGAAATGACAGTCATGACGGCAAGGGCTCCGATGGATCCCACAAAGGCGACGGTTTTCGAAAATCTGGCAGCTAGAAGCCCCGCAATGAAGAACGTCTTATCACCGATTTCACTGAGGAATACCAGACTAAAGGCTTGGTAGAACCCTGTTTCTCCAAAGCTACCCAAAAATGAGTTCGCATTAGTCGCCAAGGAAGTTGCTCCTCCAGTAATGGAAGTAATGTCAACAGCATTGCTGACTTGAGAAAATGCAACTGCTGCCGTCAAAGCCGCCGCTGAAACAGCAACCATGGCAGCTGTATTCACACCGCCACGTATCGCTTTTGGAACATCTTGGACTACCACTATTGGGGATGATTCCTCATTGATTTGCAAGAGATCTAGCTTTTCTTCATGTACCGATGGAGGCTTGGCAAATGAAATCGTGGATTGGTGATTGCGAATGGAAGCATGCTGTGAAATCGAGCTGAGGAGATGGACAAGGTAAATCAAGAGTTCAGAACAGGGATTGAACGGGGTCAAATGCTCGATGAAACAGCAGCACAAAAACTTCCTGCAATTACATGTCTTGGCCTACGTTTCATCAAAGATCAATTTTAATTATCAACACACCTGAAAGCTGAAGTCAGTGGCGCACAAGCAAGAAGAATGAAAGCATTTCTGATCATGGTGATGTTTATGACGTTGATGGTTGGTGGACAGATCAAACAGATGAGACAGAAGTGACTCATTGAAACTCCGGGTATATTGGATCCATATCATCCCCGAATGCGAGTTGAATCACGATTAGATTTCAACTTCCGGTACACAGTAACCGCAAAAATATTCCCGGTGCAGTGTATCGTAGTAGATGACCGCTTCTGGGGAAGAGATTTGAGAGAATAAAAGCGACTATACATAATAATTGCTAAATATCATGGCTGTGATTGATTCGAAACAGAAGATAATAGTATGGGCTAGGAAACAGAAGATTATAATATGGGCTGCGATTGTGGTTGTATCAATCAATATTTTTCATGCCACTGCTATTGCGCCTCCGATGCTTTCAAATTCCAACAGGGACACGAGGGAATATATGGTGATAGCCAACTTGACAACATCGGAACAAGACAATGTCCCGAGCATTGCGTCTCCAATGCTTGCAGTTTCCACCAGAACATCTCTTGGTGGCTCATTATCTACCAATTCGTCAAATACGGATCCGATGATGGAATGCCGAATGCAGCTTGAAAGCTGGCTGCGACCCAAAATCCAACATTGGATACACCAAGACTTGCCACTATTGGATTGGGTCTCAGTGTTACCGGACGGAACGCTGCATATTCAGTTCGTTCTCGCGCATTTGATGCATACTTACAACAAGACTTCGCAGCAGGCAGCACCCAAAATTCGAAGAGCCAAGTGGTATTGTGGGACAGATACCTACAAAGAGCCCGCTGTATTGCACTTCGTAAAGCGCTCAAACCTAGTTTTCCTGAGATGTAACCGCACGAGTCTTCTTCTTCATCATTCCAAAATGGGAGAGGAAATACCGACAATCATGACGTGGGCACCAGAGTTAAATCCTGAAAGATTCAATCTCCAACCTATGATGGATTGTGATACAACGGAACAACGATACGGCAAACCCAAAAATCATATCAATATAGCCATGTGTTCCGTTTTATATGGCGACGATTGGAGAACAATGATGCCAATTTTCGCAGAGTATTATGCATACCACAAGATTCTTGGAGTTCAGCATTTCTGGGTCTTTGTCAATACCGATGTTCGACCAGCACAACCATTGCCCAGAATCGATGATATAACCTTTATTCCATACAACTACCGGTGGAAGCAATTCCAAAGCTCAAGTCTTCCATATGGGGGCGTCAGCGTGTGGCAAGAGGCAATGCAGAACCAATGCCTGTCACGCTTACGTAGATATGGAGTTGATTGGGTAAGCACTATCGACGTCGACGAGCATATTGACATTCGACAAGAAGAAATCCGAACTTCCGATTATCCCTTGAAGACCTTCTTGGCGCGGTACGTGGAAAGCAGCGCCGAACCAATTGCTGGGATCAAAATGGGGAATGTCCCATTTCAGTTTAACTCGAATGATGGATGGAAGGATCAGTTTCCATATCGTATGGCCATGGATTTCACATATCGATTTAACAGTACACATACAAGTTTCGTCGATTTTGCGAGACCAAAATTGATATACAGTCTGAAATACTGCGACACTGCAGGAGTTCACTGGTGCCGCAGACCTATCCCCAAATCAAAAGTTATATATGTAGATATCTTGCAAGAGATAATGCTACACCATTTCAAACTCGCAGTTCGAACTGCACTTAAAAATATAAACCCAATCCTTGGGTACTGGCGTGGGATGTCAAATCCAGGAGAATGGGTTGTGAAAGATTCAACAATGACCGATGCATACCGGACAAAAGTCTGCCACGAGATGATTCGCGGTCCGTTCGCTTCATTTATAACGCACCTTGATGAAGATAAATGCAATGATTGGCCACCGTTGAGAATAGCAAACGAGTCTTCTCATTCGTAGCGGCTGTCCCTAGTCAGCAGCTTTTAAAGCCGTTTCCTGATCAAGATCTACTACTAGTAATTAGTGACTAGTAAGCTCGCATGATGATGTTCATAGAATACATCAGAGCGTCACAATACTCGATATTGTCCATTCAAGGAGGGGAGATCAATTCTAATACTGAATATTGTCCAGATGGGGAGAGGGAAATCCAGTTTTTCAAAACGTTCAGGAGAATGAATCTTTATCAAGTGCTAAGTCAATGATTGATGTGTTCGCGGCGTAGAAGTCATATAATTGGAACTTCTCCAATGGATCTAGTAAAACATACTGTAACCAGGAGCTGCCTGCCCAATATCGCTCTCTGGAATTAGCATTCATCGCTTACGCTTTGCGTGGCCTTTTTCGTTCTCGTTTAGTCGCATCCCTAGCCTCATCCTTATTGTCTATGGTTTCCTCTTGTCCATCCACCAATGCGCCAACGTCTGTAAGCAAGCTTGGAGGAGACGACATGTTGGCAAAGAGCGCAGCTTCCTCTTTGCGAAATTGCACATCCTCCTCGGCAGCTTCCGACTTTCCTTCATCAGCGGCAGCGAGTCTGTTTTGAATCGTCGTCGGGGATTTTGAAAAAAGTTGTTTGTTAGTCTGGCATTTCAACACTTCATGTAATCCTACCTCCATATTCCTGACGTACTCTTCTAATTCTAGCTCCAGGCGCTCTTCAAATCCAGGACCAAAGTAGCGCTGCAACGATGGCACGGACAAACCATCCAGTGAATACATTGCTGTCGGCTGAATTTCGGGGTCTTTCAGCGCCCGAGTGACATCCTCCTGCACCAAAGTCTCTCCTGTCTTCAGCTCCCACATCTCCAAATCTGTCGAATTCGATTCTTTCCCATTAGGATTGCGTGACGAATCGAGATTCTTGAGATATATCGCCTTTTCCACGATTCTACCCATTGTGTCGTAGCCTAAGAAAGCTAAAGCTTGAGTAGTTGCATCATCCGGCGGCTTCATTGGTGTGGTCGGGTCAAACCCAAGCCAATGGAGAAAACGAATGGTTCTGGCATCCATTTTTTCCCAATCAGTTTTCCGCCCTCGTTTTCCCTTGATGTTATGTCGTTTTTCCCATTCAATATCCTCTTTCGATTTCCGTTGCCTTTTACCCCGGGATAGGAAGGATCCTTGCCGTACTTGTGAAAACCTGAGATATCCCTCGCTTTGCATGCTGTCAGTGCGCGTATCAAAATGAGCGGCTCGTTCTTTCAAATGACCTCCCAATGCTTCAGTATCGTCTTCTTCCACAGTTTCGGTCTGAGCATCCGGACTGGGGTCCCCCTTTTTGCCGTCGTTTTCATCATCAGATTCCCGGTTGGTAGCATCATCTTCCTTCTCAGCAGAAGCGTTCTTACGTTGGCTTCGTTGATACATATCATTCCAGCGTCGATATTCCCGCATTACTTCAGGATATAACGATTCCAACTGCTCAATATCGAAGCCGCACGGCAAATTGTAAGCCAATCGATCATGAGCGGTTAGACTTCTTGACATCATTGTAGGGTCCAGGGAGCTTGCCTGTGCCAAAGATGATTGATCCAGCCTCCGATTCATCCTTTTGGCTTCGTCAAAACGCTTTTTTATTTTGCGTCGAATGGCACGGGCGTCCATCATGGCCAATTGCAAGGTCCGTCGCGTTCCCAAGAGCGCTTCTTCCAATGCCTTTGGATCTGGCGATCGTGAGTCTCCAAAGGTGGTCATCATTTTGGCGCCTTCCATTCCCATTGGGATTAGACTGATTTTATCTTTGTATTCTTCTTCGTTCCAATCACTATCAGAGTTTGGAGTATCATCATGCCCTGAATTCTCCTCGCTCGGTGGCGGCAGACTTATCGCATGTGGTTTCACATCAACATCGTCGTAATCATCCATATCGACTTCTATTGCCTTTTTTGGCGATTTCGCCTTTGATTGTACAGAGGAATCTTCCATGGCCTTTTCAGCACTATTCTTGCCCTGATTGCCCTTCTTGGGCACCTTTGATGGTGGCGCTGCTCCCATGGACTGTAAAATATCAGAGACCGCAGACTCAATTTGGGCATTGGTGTTTTCCCCTTTGGTTCTTTTCGTTATTAGCTGCAACACCATTTCCATTTGGTCGTCCAACTTGTTGGGTGTAGACCCATTATTATAATTCTCCGCTTGCTGCTTTTTCTGACTTCCTGGCATACTGCTTGTCGTTGGGAGACTATTGGAACAGTTGATGCTGTATTTTCGAATTTTGGCTGCAAGTTTTTCGTGGTCCAGATTCGACTAGTTGGACCAATTGAAGTTGCATAGCTACTCTTGTTTTTACATCATCTGGACTAGTTTCTATTATTACTGTAGATTTCTCACTCTCTATTTGTTGCCCCTTTTCCAATATCAAACGAAATCTTCAACCCTTTTGATCGCATGCAGTGCGATAAAGGACCGCATGATATCTCCGTATCAGATCCGCAATGGATCGATTCATTTTCTTCAAGCGTTTCATGTCAAGCTTGAGATGAAACGAAATGAGTGTTTCAGAAGCGTAGTCTGCATTCTTGTTCATAGGTATGTCCAGAAACCGCTTCAATACTTGAGGAGATGTGGGCCCAGTTTTCCCGTCAAAGTCATGGACAAATTGTGCCGATTCCGTAAAGCGGTGTCCGCCATTCGAGTCGACAGTCTCAGACAAGAAGACGTGATGATCGGAAATGAATGAAAACATCATAATATCTTCCCGTGAATCAATGCTCAAGGAATAATAAGTGTCCATCCCTTTCGTTCCCCATAGCATCAGAGAAGCACGATTGAAAATGTACCCCCCTCCCCCTGCCGCCACTGGAAACTTTTTATGAATGATCGGATCACCCCACACCAAAGGCCGCGGTCGCAGAATGGTGGAAGGATACACCCGTTCCTTGAAGCGTTCGTTGTTTGCAATCGAATCGAGGAATCCATTTTCCAATTCTTGAATGCGAGGACTATTCAGAAATGCTCGCAGGTTGTCTACCACGACATATACATCGTCACCACAAATGTAAAAGTAATCATACTCATTTGCGTAGTGTTCATATGCATAGGACCACATGGTTCGAACTTTTTGCCACATGTTCCCATAACTCTCCTCCCCAAAATGTGGCAAATCAATTCCACCATTTGTAGGGTCTGTAAGATTGCTGGCGGCAAAGAATCCGTCGCACTTTGTGGCCCAGGTCTGAGCAATCGCTGTAAGGCTTGCATGTGGATTGGCTTCAAGATGGACCGTGTATACCATGCACAGTATTCGGGGAGGAGTTTTGCTTGCTGCCGCCTTTGAGTTGTCTCGGATGGATTGATCAAGGCCCCTGCGGACCTTTTGGAGCACCAGGTTTCCACCTTCTCCTTCGAGACCAAAATCTATGTCTACTGTGCAATCTGATGATTCAGTGTTCTGGAGGGCTGAATCTGCCATTGTCCTTTGGAGATGGTCCAAATTGACAACACAACCAAGGTTTCCGAGTTCATCTCGTGCACCGAGCCTTGGATGATCCAGATCAGAAACATTGAATCGAGAAGAGCAATAGCTTGTTTGTTCATCTAATGGTAGTGGGAGACTGAGAGTCTCTTGCTCTTGATAACATACTGCAAAGAGAATGCACGGATATAGGATTGCAAGCCACCTACAAACCCGTTGACATGGCGCTGGCTCTGCTGCAGCTGATCGATTTCTCTTGAAATTCCCATGCTTCGGCCCCCTTTTAATTCTCATCAGATCAGAATTCAGTCAGAGATGGAAGATCTATTGTACCATCGTCTAAAGCTCTCAGAGACTACCTAGTACCGTACTTGTCGCAAAGAAAGCGAAACAGCAATGGAAAATGATTGCGACTGTGCGAAGCGGGTACTGTAGCGGGTATTTGGTACTGTATTGCTTTCGTTTCAACCACCCGTACCACGTTTACAACACCCACACCATGCTACACCCCGCCGCCAGTCTGTCTCCCGGCATGTCTGCTCATCAACCGCAGGTTTCGTGTGGAAACATGCACCGCCCTCCTGTGGACCTGCTTGGACGTCCCAAGTTTCAGTGAAACGTTCCATTTTGATTGATTGAAATCATCTTTCGTTCAATCAAACTTTATTGGAACTAGTTAGTCATCATGGCAGACGATGAAGAGGCCGATGTTGCGGCCATGTTGGATCTCTCCAAGAAAAAGAAAAAGAAGAAAAAGAAGGAAAAGAAGGACGACAAACAGGCTTCCATCAGTGCCAAAGCTGGGTCTGGAGCAGACTTGAGTGGGCAGGCAGCCATGTTGGCGGAGCAAGATCAGGCTCAAGAGGTTGATGATGACTATGACCGAAAGGCTGAATACACTTACGAAGAGTTGCTTGACCGTGTTGTGGACATTCTTCAAACCAAGAATCCTTCGTTGGTCGAGAAGAAGAAGCGTAATATCAAACCACCACAGTTGCAACTATTGAGCAGCAAAAAGACTCTTTGGGTGAACTTTCAGGAGATTTGTACAATGATGCAAAGAAGCCCTGAACATGTCTACGCATTTTTCATGGCAGAATTGGGTACTGAAGGAAGCATTGATGGTAATCAACGTCTTATCATTCGTGGAAAGTACGTGCCCAAGTACATTGAATCCTTGCTTCGTAAGTACGTTGTCGAGTACGTCACTTGCGAGATGTGTCGTTCTCCCAACACCGACCTGCAAAGAGATGGTGCCAGTCGATTGTACTTTTTGCAATGCCGCGACTGTGGAAGTTCCAGATCTGTGGCACCTATCCGCAGCGGTTATCATGCTACTTCTCGAGCAGATCGTCGTGCGGCAAGAAATGCCAAGGGATAAAAGACATGTTGCAAGATTGCTGCTGTCATAACGCTAGTAATCACAATTATGCAAACATATGGATGCAAGGGCAAAACTGTGGTGTTTACATCAGATTTGTTAAATAGCTTCTGAATTTATCATAGCCCAAAAAGAAACAAGACAGTCGAACAAAATGCCACTATTATTATGAGCCCGACAGCGTTAATTGTACAGTCCCCATTCTTCAAAGTGTAGCTCGAATGATCCAACGACCGTTGGTTTGATCGCCATTATTCCAATCTCGGTTACTACTGATGGTCTGAATCCAGGCGATCCGACCAGTGGGTTTCCCATTTGTTCCATCTGATCAAATGCAGAGAATGGAATCAAGAGAGGTTCCTTGGATTCGTTCGGATTCGCAAAAACGGCTTTGAAATTGGAAAGTCGGATTTGTTCACAGGTGGCATCTTTCAGAATCAGGCGAAACGTGTGCTCCGTTGGGGAAGAGTGTTGGAGGGATTGAAAGTAAATTCCCTTGGCGTGTGACCAGTTCTGAGGTGTTTGAAATCTCCATCGCAACGAAGAAAATCCACCATTGTTGGCAAGGGAAGTAGTACCACGAAAAGTTTTTAATTCTGGCACCCAGGAACCTTCTGATATTCCTCCCATGACGCTATCCATCACTGGTCGAGGCTCCGCTGGAAGGATTGTCGCATCAAATGGTTGGAATACGATATTGGAGTCGTCACCGATGATCATAGGGGAGAAGGGAAGCTGATAGCCAGAAATCGAATCAAATAGGCCTCTAAGCGCCCACGCCCTGGAGTCGTCATCCATACCATCAATTCCCGATACCTCCTTCAACAATTTCGACTGAAGATCGTTCGGAAGGAAAGGGGCTAGTTGATTGGATGCTTGTTCATATACTTGAGCACATCGCGCGATATCTCCTACGTTGTATGCTGGTGCACCGATCGAAATGGCTTGAGCGACTATTTCCTTAGCTTGGTTTAATTTCTCCACAACCTCATCCCGCTCCACGCCGTTGGATTCCGCATTTTTGGGATACGACATCAAACCTCTAACTCTATGTCTACTGTGAGTCGTTAGGAAGCCATATGCAGCGGGTAATAAATTCCCCTTCTTCACTATATCTACAATTACAAATAGAAACACCAATGATAGCTTCATGATGGATTTGAGGTGATTGTCATTCTTCTTCATCACAAAACGTCAATGAGTCCACCGAGTCAACTCAGAAAATCATGATATCGCTGACATTGTCCTCATCATCGTCCACATTCCCAAGGATTGTTCCAATATTGCTAGGTACTCCAAGGCTACGTCTTGATCCCCCACTGCCAACACTACCTTTTGATATCGATCTGTCGTCAGCACCAACCGATCCATTTCCGCTTTGCTGTTTTGCATTGGAAGATCGAACCGAACCAGCATCGTCAAGAATAGCACTCGATATTGAATGGTTCGATCCAGAGCCAATTGATTGAACGACAACTTCCGTGCCAGCTTCACTGACTTCGTCATCGTCAACCATGGGCGGTAAGAGGGAGTCTCCCGCATAGTTGGTAGAGGAGACTTTGGATGCGTTCGAGACAAGGGATCGTGTCGGAGATAGCAGTCTCACATTGTTTGCATTCGTAGTGTAAGATGTTGGAAGTATCAAATGAGGTGATGGAGACTCTGGCATTTTGTGATCCTTTGTAAGTAGCAGCATATCGTCCAAACCCTCGGCGTCCAGAAGAAGCGCTTGTTCTGCTTTGTTCTGCTTTTCAGCATACGAATTTCCAAACAGGTGTACCGCAATCAAAAGTATTGTATGAACCACCAATAGAATAGCGCCAATATACTGCACTGCTGTAGCTGTAACTGGATCAAGAGCAAGAATTCCTCCTCGAAGGGTGTCGGCACTGTTGGTAGTACTGTTGTTGCTTGTGGTATTGGCAACGATACTGGGAGCAGGCAAGTCAAAAGTGTTACGTTCAAAACCAATGACAGATAGAGAAGCTTCTTCCCAAGGCATTTCAAACTCCCCATTTGCAATTTTTGAATCAAATGCTTCTTGAAGACCCTTCTGCAAGTCGTTGCCGTCTCCCCAGTCATACACAGGATAAGTTACATTCCAAGTAGCGTACCAGTCTTCTTCTATTATGCTTGCAGAAGGAGCATTCCACAAAATAGCAGGTGGGTAGCTCTTCCAGTCACCGGTACTCCCACAATCGCTGGTCATTTGTAACGTACTGACGAGTTCGACCGCAAAGGATGGAAAACTTGTCCCACAAATGAAATCATCGCTCATCCACCTCAAAAAATTGGCCTGGAAACCACCGTCTGTGGGAACATTCCGTGCTTCATCTTCAGGAGGAAAATACAGACTCAAGAGAATATGAATGTAGCCTGTGAGCCCTTCGTCTGAACGCAGGATTGGTTCAAATGCTGACGCCATGTCTCTACTAGAAATTGAAATGAATTTTATTACTCTGGCAGACAAAAATTGAATCATCATCTCAAGTTCAAAGTCAGGTAGATTGTCGCTCTGATAGTCGGAAGACAGAAAATCGCCGTTGCGCGAGCAAGTCGAGCATTGGAATGTTCCTTTGAATGATTTTAGCCGACCGGACTGTCATGCCGGGTCAGAGCGGTGCCCGCAGAGCACAGTAGGCTCTGGAACAAGATACCATACCCGGTAATCATAAAGCAGGTATTGATAGAAGTAGTGGAATTAGGTTATTGTGGGGGCGCTCTGTTGCTATCTTGATATGTTCGTATGTACTTGCGGCCGTGGCCATTGCTTTTGTAGCGTGTGCTGCCATCTGGTCTACTGGGAGTAACTTGTTTCTATCTATCGCATTGTCGTGTAAGGGTGCGGCTGGCTACTCTTGTGGCTTCTAACCTCCAGGAGTGGTCGTGGACGTTGACGTTCTGTTTTGGGCGTCGGTTCCATGAATCGCGCTGTGAGAGGAATAGGTTTCAATGGGGTTGGGTCATCAAATGCAGTTGCTGGGGTGTGGAGGACATTCTCCTTGAAGGCGGGAGTGTATGGAGGATTGAATTCCGGACTTGCGAACAACGGTTTTTTCGTTGACAGCATTGAGGAGTCCGAAAGCCTGGCTGCTCTTGTAGATCGATCTTCTGTACCTTCAAGCTTTGAAGAAGTTCCATGTTTTCGACCATCTTCAAGCCATTTGTTCATAGGAATACCATTGATTCCATGATATAGAAACCGGCTATTTCTTGGCATGCAGGCGACTGCAAGTGCATTTCCAACAGCAGTTGGTTGGAAGCTCTTCAGAAGAACGGTCTGGTCTCGATCAGAAGAGCTATTGTAGATATAGACATCACAGAGTAGTCCCTTTTGTCCCTCCATGGGATCAATAAGCGTGACTATGCCTTGTTTCATCTGTGCACTTCGGACAAAGCTGCACCAGCCGCTTGCGTAGTTCTTTCTACCAATAGTTCCAGCGGCGCAGTTGCCAATTAAAACGTTTCGCCCATTCCCGTTTTGCCCTTGCGTGAACTTGAATTGAGGGAACTCATGACCAGGACCAGGAATCCACATACCAATGCAGTTTTCGATAGGTGTCTTACTATAGATCTCCACCAGCCGACCTGAAGAATCTGGTTCATATACCAAGTAACAAGCAGTTGTGTCCATGTCTTCTTCTTCCTCGTCTTGGTAACATTGCTCTTCATGAGCCCTTCGTTCTTCCATCATCTGTTCCTGTTGCACCTCGGTCAAACGTTGCGCAATGTCTTGTCGTACTTCTGGCGAAAGAACAAGCTTTTCTTGTGCTTGCGCTGGCTGTATTTCAGTTTGATCTTGATCCCCTGGAGAAACAGTTGCCATTATTGGCATAACATGGAGTGTTCCATCATATGAAGTCACATTGGACTCTTCTTCTTTGACAACAGAGCCCTCTTGGCTAGAACCTTCTTCCGAAGTAGGCACAATTTCTTCCTCCACTTTCTCTTCAGCGATTTGAGCAAGTGGTTTCGAACAGTTGGTAACTGTGACTGACAAAACTTTCTTTTCTTTCAATGATTTCAATATTGGAACTTTCTCAATTGCAACAGCAACGAGAAATGAAATGAGCATCCCTTGAACTGCTTCATTCCACAAGACATGACCCTTAAAAAAACTAGAAAGGGAAACCTGTGGAAGTTTCTTTTTGCGGCCAAATCTAAAGAATCCCCTTTTGGATGGTGCTTCGCTTCCTTTCAGCAGCAAAGAAAAAACTGTTTCGACAGAGACTTCTTGGTGTTGTGCCACCTTATGAGTCACTCCAAGGATTAACATACACACGAGCTGTCCAACGATCGTTTCTTGCTTCTTGTTATGATACAAACACGCCACGGTCCCAAATGCGGCGAGCTCTCCGAGAGCAGCCCATGATTGCAATGTGCCTCTTGCGATTCCAAAAACCAGCATAAATACCTGCAATGCCCCAAGCAGTACTCTACATGATGACAGGAAACTATCAACCTTCTTCTTGTTCTCGTTCGGGTCTCCACTGGAGCCTTTCCATTGTCCTAGGAATTCCATGATCTATGGATTGATGGTGATTTCCAGGAGTTGCGGTTTCGAAAGATGGAAGCCAGAAAAGAAATCGCCATCGATCATAATTTCAAACTGTCGACCGCTCGGCCAATCACATGCATTTAGCTTGTCAACGGTTCGGAAGGCTGGCGCAAGCAACGGAATTGGAGTCAAACGGGTCGATTAGAATATTGTACTAATGAATTCGCTATAAAATGAATAATGAATTCGAGGGGAAAAATGCAACAATGGATTTGTGAACTCTGAGCTACATACCGAACTGTGTGAACCAACCAAATCTCCTCGTATTATTTACATGAATCAGATCTCGTTTTCAGTGACAGCGGTACAACAAAAGGTTTCAACCCAAAATATGAGCTGGACCCCAATAGGCAAAGCAAGTAGGAGGAGAAGGAGGTTCGTTTGATCATAATCTCAAGTTTCAATCCCAGCCGGAGAATTCAACTCAAAATGTCCACTGTTTACGGTAATTCCGCATTCACCTGACAAATTGTCCAGTGACAGTTCCATTGTAAGGACCTTTCGCACTTTCAAAGGTGTTCGAAAAAGTCCTGTCTTTCGCTGTCAAACGAATTCGTCTTGTGACCAAAGCCAGAGCTCAGCCAGAGCTCAGGTCTCGTTGAGGTTTTGCAAGGCACAGAAATCACCATCACAGCAAGTGGTACAACATGGACACTCGATGAATGGTGTTGCGCCACCACACTCGGCTGACAACGAGTCAAGCTCCTGGGTATTACAGAGGGTATCACTCAATCCTCCTGATATTCTTGTCCCTGCGAGTGCAAAACTTTTCAGAGCTTCAAGCCCAATATACGACGAAGGAACAGTGCCTTCAAGGTATGGATTGTTGAAAACTTCAAGCGACACCAGACTTTCTAATGCTGACCATTCATCGGGCAATGTACCATTGAAGTTGTTGTTGTGGTACTTCATTTGAGTTGCATTGGTCATAGTTTCAAAGGAGGCCGGAAGACTTCCGCTAAAATTATTGCCGTGCACCCAAAACCAATCGACTGCAGTCATTCTTCCAAGCATACTAGGAAGTGTACCATAAAGCATGTTGCCATCAACGACGAAGTTCTCCATCAAAGTCAATGCGCTATACTCATTGGGTATTGTTCCCTCAAATCGATTGTTGGAAATTGCTAATGTGATAAGCCTTGACTGTGTGGCCAAATTCAGTGGTAGAGTCCCCTTTGAGTGGCAGAAAGTGTCGTTAGTCATAAGTACCACGATTACACTATTCCAGCTTGACCTGCACTTACCGTGAAAGCATTGTCTGACACTTGAAACCAATCCAGCGCCATTTGTTTTGGCATTTCTGGAATAGTTCCATTGATTTTGTTGCGATTAATGCGTAATCGTCTGAACTCATCGCCCCATAAGTTGGGTAATGATCCGGACAATCTATTAACATGCATAATGAAGCGTTCGAGCTTTGCAAATCTTTCAAAGGAGGACGGAATACTGCCAGAAATAGAGTTCAGTGCAAGTTGCATGAATTTCATATCTTTCATTTCCCCTAAAGAACTGGGAATTGTGCCTATGGCAATATCAAGTTTTGTTCCCATGAGGTCACGAGAAATTGGTAATCATAGTGTGCATAATCGAGACTTACCGTATAGGCTGTTCTTTGCTAATGAGAGCTCAGAAAGAGATGACAGAACCCCCAGTTCTGATGGTATTGTTCCATTCAACCCCACGGCATTAAGAAATAGATCCGTGACTTCACCAAGATCATTGCACAACAACCTGTTGCCTTGGGTTACGTTCATCCAAGAGCATGTGTTCAGCGTCGAATTGAAATTGTGGTCATTGATGAGCCATGCATCGCCTCCTGTAGAGTAGTACAGAACCCGAAGAGCGTATCGTTCGGCCAAATACTGGTCACCAATTTCCCTCACATCGAATATGTCGTCATGGCTTTCGCGGGATATCATTTTGAAAGCCTTTGATTGGGGGGAACTCGGGTTGCGAAATACCTCGTCCCCGGATATGGAGCTGAAAAGAACTTGGAGGTATTGGTCATCATCCAGTAGAGTAGGGCTCGTTGTTGGAGCCTTTGTGATATTTCCAACATTCCGGCTAGATGCTTGACCAAGTCCGACGAAAAGCCCAATAACCAAACCAGCAATGACTACCACGCTCACGCAACAAATTTCCGATGCATTCTTCTGCCAGAATCCTTGTTTGTTGTCAGCTTCGTCATATTCTGCAGAAACCATCATGTCTGCCTTTAACTTGTTGTCGAATTCCCGTTGCAATGATTCTTCGTCAATGACGGCGGCGCTGGTTGATCTGCCGCTATTAGCAAGTTTTGAACTTGGTGAGTTTGAAGGCGACTGTTTTGAGTCATCGGGTTCCTCGGAAAGAGCCAATGATCCATTTTGTTGAGTTCCAATCTGAAAGGCACCTGGTTTTTGGGGTGGCGAGCTGGAATCGTCATCCATTCCCAAGTCATATTCATCGCTTCTCCAACCAACTTCTTCGTCTCCATTTCCATCAATTCTTTTTTTTGCGTTCATGGTTGGGGATAGTGCAACCGTTGGAACTCCATCACGATCGTTCTCCTCTTCGTTTTTCGCCATTGCTGTGGATAGCAGGCCCGGCTTCAAAAGTTGCACAGTGCCAATAGAGTCGATGCTTTCTTTCAGATCTGCCTTGGGAGACACTTTTTCTGAAACTTTGTTCTGCTGCTCACACTTTGGACGTTGTGTATAGGCTCGTAGCTCTCGCACCTCCTCCCCTGCAGCGGCTGCGCCAAAAGAAATGACCATAGATTCTTGCGCTATTTTCGGAGCGTCGTCGACAATCGTACTTTCAGGAGCCATGATCTTTTCCTCGGCCGCGTCGTCAATCTCCATTTCAGATTCGTTTATAGCATCGATTGTTTCAGAACCATCAAGCATGATGCGCGATGATCTTCTGCTTGACGAGTTTGCGGTAGCGAGCAAAATGTCCTCTGCCACTACTTCTGATTCCCTATCCGCGTCGTGGACTGCTTCATTCGATGTGATTTCTGTTGATTGAGTTTCGTTGTTTTCGGCTTTATCAACAACTGCATTGACTTCTTTTTCTTCCTCACGATCTTGGTGGTCGCCCTCAGAAACTTCTTGTTGGCTGTTCCCATCACTCGCCTCCTCGTCCAGATCACTGCTATAGGATTTTCTTTCTTTTACTCTGTGTCCCGATAATTCGCTTTCATTTGAGTCTTTCTCCATCTTGGATGTAGTGTTGTTGTTGTCGTTGACGATGATACCACATTGTGGTTTGTTTGAAGTCTTTGTCAGTTGTGCCGTCAGTTGGGTTTCAGTCAGTCGTGCGCGTTGTCAATTGGCGATGCGATCTTCGACTCATTGAAACGATCTGAGTCGGCAACACACATGATGAGCGCACGATCAGATTGATTCCCATTCCCACAAAAAATGGGAAAGGTTGGAATTTCCTCCAATGATGCGCACATTCAAATATTGAAACATAAAAACACTGAACATATTGAAATATTGGCAAAAAAACCATGAGAGTCCGACAAACTGCCATCCTTTTGGCACAATTGCTTTGGCTACTTACTAGCCAAACAAGCGGATCATGTGTCTGTGACGATCCAAAGGCATTATGGTGCGACGAGTTCTCGGTTTGGAATGAACAGTGGACCCATGATGTGGGAGGCGGTGGGTGGGGAAACTACGAATCTCAAATCTACAACAGGGAGAATTCTCCAGTCGTAGATGGTGAGCTCCGCATTCATGCAACGAAAGGATTGGATGAAAATTATTACTCCTCACGGATTCAAACAAAAGGAAAAGTGGAATTCCTCTATGTGAGGCTGGAGGCGTCAATCAAGGTGACAAACTTGGAAGGAGGTCTTTGGCCAGCATTTTGGATGCTTGGTGCCAACTTTGGGGACGTTGGGTGGCCTTTTTGTGGAGAAATTGACATTATGGAACTTGGTTCTGCAGAGGCAATAGCAAAGGGACAGATTCATGAACTGGTATTGGCGGCCATGCATTGGAATGCGACAATTGATGGCGACCACGTCTATGAATATTCTGGAAATACCACAACGCCAGCTATGGTGCAAGAGTTTCATACGTATGGACTTGATTGGACGCCGGAAAAGATAACAATGGATGTGGATGGCAAGGAACTGTTTACAAGAAATATTACTGGCCTAGATCAGTTTCACAAGCCATTCTTCGTCCTGTTAAACTTGGCAGTTGGTGGCTTGTTTACAGGCATTGCAGAACCAACCACAGCCGGTGGCGCGATGATTGTAGATTGGATAAGGGCATATGATAACGGATCAGGTTCAAGGGTTACCGTTGATGAGCAACCATTCAACTACAGCAACGGAGATTGTACCGATTCGTCCTCAGGCATAAGGCTATTCGCAATGGTGCCAATTGTTTTTTCAGCCATTGTAGCTTGTATATTTCTATCATAACCATTTTTGAAATAGAGTATTCGAGACCATCTGCACACATACTGCATTGGCAAGAAATTATAAGATCACCTTCAATTCGAAAGTTTCCTATATTTCTGCTGACGACTGAATTGGAACAGAACTAAGAGGCCAAACAGGCAAATCAGGCTTCGGATCATCCGTTGAAGAGCAATCACTGTCTTCAATTGGTGTGCCATCTAAATCACACACTCGCGTACTGCCATCGGGTAAGGCTTGGTATTTCAGTATCAATGGTGCACCGGTCGGGATTCGTAACCTCTCTAGTGCTCGCAAAGCAACAGGATCGTTTTCAACGTCAACAAAGGCACCAATCAATGCTCGCAGAGAGTTGGCATGAGCTACAATCAATCCAGTTCCACCTCCATCCCCGGGACTCTTATTCAAGGTTGGTGTCAAAACTTCCTCAATGAAGGGTTGGATTCGGTCCTTTGAAACTTGACTAAGGGATTCTCCTCGCGGAACTCTGCTTTCCTCCCCACCACAGATTTCCTTAAATCGAGTAATCTCATGTTTCCGCCGCGGGTCATCGGCACTAAGTAATGGAGGAACCGCATGCCAACTCCTTCGCCAATGTTTGACGGTAGAAGACCCATGGCCATAGACTCCTTTCTCTACCTTTTCCTTCGAAAATCCTTGCAACGTTCCGTAGTGCCGTTCATTCAACCTGTAATCAATGACAAAACGTTTAATTTCTCGATTATTTGGCAATTCTGCAAATGCCCAGTAGCAGTAGTGCGCTGTCATTTGAGCTCTTTGCAGGGTCGATGTAAAGCAAGCGTCAATTGTTGATTCCCATCGCTGTGTCAGTTCTCGGCCCAAGGACTTTGCCTCTTCAACCCCCCTGGGAGACAAAGGAACATCTGTCCATCCACTTTGGATAAAGATCGACAAAAAAGAAGATGTACGTAAGAATACAATCAGATTCACGACATGGGCCAATTTCAACCATCCAAGCTAGTGTTTTGAGTTGGAACAGTTTTGCAACATCATCCAAAAGTACCTACGTGAAAGTCTCTGGGACACCAGGCTGTCCTCCATTCCAAATGGAATCCCCATGACGACTCAGCAGAAGGGTATGGACTGGGTAACAGCTGTGTGCGGAATGGTAGTCGTCAGTGCTGCTCTCCAGACTTGCATCATCATCCGGCAATTGAAGTATTGAAGAAGATAAATCTTCATCGACATTGACCACCGAAAGGGCCATTTTTCGACCAAGATGCGGTGTTGATGTAGTTTGGAGGCATTCTGCTATTCCTACTATTGTGAAACAAAGGCCTAAGGTTGGAGTTAATGTTCTGCTTTTCATGTGGTCGTTGATGTTCCAGTGCGAGTGCGAGTATGAGGTAAATTGAAACCTGTGAAGTGTGAATTTTGAAAAGAGACTAAGCCAGTACTGGCACTATATTTTTATTATTGTTGGAATAGTAACCAATTCAATTTTGATTACACTACTTTACATCGCGCACGGTACGGTGTCTATATGCAACACTAGTAAGTATGAGGGAGTCACACTCTCGCAAGCGCAGCCTCTTCCTACCAGAAAAATGAGCTTTTCTTGTCTTCGTTCTCTGGTGTTCGAAGCCTCTGCATTTTGTAACTCTCAAACCTTACGGATTGATGCAACAGTGATTGCCCAGCAGGATCTGGCACGTTTGAGTTCAGGAAGACGTCCTGTGACTCGATTGTGCTGGCATCATCTGGATCCCACCCTGAGTATTCAGAGTCTCCATCAACACTCGCTATTTCGGCTGTTTTTCGCTCCTGTCCCCACACGTTTTCAATGTGTTTTGGAACCAACGATCGCCGTCCACTATCCGATAGCCTAGATGACTGTCGAGAGAAGCTTCCGGCTTCAGCAAGCCTTGCTGCACTAACATCGGTCGGTTCTAAGATACAGTTATCGTCTGTGGCAGGTGTTGGAGGTAGACCCAACAAGCTTTTTGGTTGCTTTGCGGTTACCGCCTTGGATATGGCAGATGACTCCATCATATCCTTTTGAATGTTGTAAACTCGGTGCCCAAATGAATCTTGTCGTTGTGGTGCTACTATATCAGGTTGAATTTTTGCTGCCCCTTCAAAGCCCAGATCATCGTCGAATGTATAGTCTCCAAATGACTCATCGCTCATGGCATCCATATCTAGAGTGGTGTCTACAACAGAGTTAAACATACCTTGTCCACTTCGAACCTCACCTCCTTTACTTTTTTGAATATTCGATTCCTCATCCGAGCGTACAGTCTTGTCTGTGGCAATGTTGTTGGTCTTTGTTGGTACAGCTGGAGGGATTGATCCCTCTGAGACTCTCTGGAGCGGCCGGGTATGCCTCTGGCATAGGAACACAACCAGCGCCAGAAAAATAGCAATACCCCCAGCAATGGCTGCCCCAATAATTATCTCCTCATCATCATCATTCTCTGGCACATCCTCAACAAAGTCATCCAACTGCCCGGTGGGTTCAGGTGCCTTGTTTAAGGGTGGAGCTACCGTTGGTAAAAGTGTGTTTTGAACCGTAGTTTGAAGTGTTGTTGGTGAAATTGTGGTTTGAGGCGTAGTTTGAAGCGTAGTTGGTGAAAGCGTGGTTTGAAGCACAGTGGGTGAAAGCGTGGTTTGAAGCACAGTGGGTGAAAGCGTGGGCAATGTGGTTGGAGCGCTAGATGGCACATTATAAAAGTTCTCCCATAGGGCAACCCGAGTAAAGTTCTGGAACGGAAAATCATCATCTATGGATGTCGAAGTGATGGCTTCCAAAAGCAGGCTTGGCGTCAGGAGTTCTTCTTCTATGTAAGTCGAGAATTCGTCGTTCGTTGGTGAAGCATTATCAGAAAAGGAGAAGTAAACCAGACCGTCGACAGTCAAGGTAAGGATTCCATCGCTAGACACCGAGTTTTCAAGGATACGCTCCAACCCTATTGATGAAATGTCCGGCCAGTCATTTGGAGTTCGTCTATTTGGAGAGTTTCGCAGCAGCATATCTTCCAGAATAATCTGCACAGTATCTCGAAGCAAATATGATTCTTCATTTGTCAATCCCCTTGATGCTGGGGCCAACCCAACTCTTAACCCGGTCAACCGTAACCGACTTACTGCTCTGACATGCTGTGGGAGGAGGAGAAGGAGAAGGAGGAAGCTCGTCCTCGAAAGGTATGATAATATCACTGAATTCTTCATTGGTGCGGATGAAACCATTCTATATGATCTAATGGTTTATAACACTGTTTACCCCATTGCCGTTCGTCAACGAAGTGTTGGCATTGGATCGGGAGAATCTGATATTCGTCGAGATTGGCAGTTATGTCAACGTCGGTGTGAAAAACAGTCAACAGCCACGACCGGCGGTACGATACCTAGCGTTTTGGAGTCGTGATTCGTGATGCGTGTGTCGCACCTCCTCTGCATGCGATCCTACACGACTGAGTTTTTCTACCTTGATTTTAGGGTAGACTTTTATTGCATAATTTTGGACAATCGTGAGGTTTGGCATAGATGTTTTGAAGTGAAGGCAATGGATTTGAAATAAAATTAGAGTAGGGCTTTTAAATGCACAACTATAGTAGATACATAGATAGCAGATGGTCCTAGCGTGTAACTCTTGATATAACATAGCATCGCGATAAAAAATGGTTGACTGACTGACTCAACCGACTATTATCTGATCCCTTGATCTTGGGACCAGAGGATCGAAAGCCGTTGACCAATGGACTGCAATTACTTCTGTAGGTAGGGTTGCTGTCGATCGTGCGTATCATTCCATATCCAACTTACTCTTTTTCCTTGCTAGTTGTGTCGCGGCGTCGTCATCAATCATCTGTTTCGGTCTTCTCCTCTTGATCTCTGACCGGAGTTTCCACTTTTCGAAGTGACCTAGTACTCTACGACCATTGGCATACTTGAGGGTTCCTTTGCCGTGGAATTGCCCTTGGGCGAAATCTCCATTGTAAATGTTTCCCTTTGAGTCTGTGTAGATTCCCTTTCCGTGCTTCTTGTCTAGGAAGTAATTTCCAACATATCGTTCGTTTTTCTTGTTGTAAAAATATGTGCCTGTTCCATGCTTATGATGATTTTCGAACGTTGCGTAGCATTTGTCTTGGTTCCTGTAGAATATGCAAGCTTGACCTTCCAACTTCCCATTTCTCCTTACAAGTAAAGTTGGGTTGAAAACAACTCAAAGTGAGACGATCGACTGATTGGCGAGATCAGATAGAAAGACAACAAAATGACTCACCAACTCCCACAAGCAATTGCAGTTCGACCATTATCATAAAACATGTAACCGGCTCCATGTGGTTTGCCTTTGAACACCGTTCCGGTATACTGCCCCTCGCCATGAATCTGCTCACCGAAACAGAATTCGAGCTCGCCCATTTTGGATTCATCTTCGAAACTTAGACCGGCATTGATTATACTGGCCACTGTCGATCGATCGGCATCGGTGATGTCGCCGATGGATCCATTGGCCCAGCTGACAATTGCTTCATCAATGCTGTCGAAAACGCCGAGGACACCAGTGTTGGAACCATTCTCTAGGCTGAGACTAGCAGCACTGTCAACTGTTGGAACACTCCTTGGCTGCAGATTTGCAGCATCTCCGTTGCCTTGGTTGGCAACGTGGTTTATGGATAGCGGGCCCACGATGGGCGGCTGGTTCTGAGGGTCCTCGTGCTGTACCAGCAAGGCCACGATTGCTGCTTCGAGTTTTGGACTCGAGAGAATACTTTCAACTTTCTCGTTGAAAGTGTCCTTCTGATTGTTCATCGAGGTATATTTTGCCAGGTTTGCAATCTGATCTAATGCTGAAACACTTCCTGTTTTCTTCTTTGACTTCATGTTCCTGAAGCATTGAAGTGTTGTTGCCACAGCCTTTTCGGTGGTGATTTCGGTGAATCGCTCGCATCCTTCGACTTTTTGCTTGATCAAAAATCTCCCACGGGGTATTCCGGCCTCTTCATTGCCACTCTGAATCTCACTGACAATTGCAAGTGCAATTTCTTGTTGTCTTTCTTTATTGGAATGCTCCCAGTATTCGTAGTCTTCTTCCACCATCTTTCGGAAGTTCTTGTTGCCCAAATTGTTGAAATTTCCCCTTCCTCTGCCTAGCAAGACATCGAATTTAGTCGTTCCGGATGGGATATTATTCTTAGCTGCCATCTCGACTAGTTTCGTTTTTGTTTTTGTGAGCATTTCCAATTTTTGTCGTCTGACCAAACCAAGTTTATACGGTATCCCGTGTCTTCCTGAAACTGGCAGCTGCGTATAGTTCCTACTAAACCATTTTGCAGGTGAGGTGTCGTCGCTCTGCAATACCGTAAAAACTTGGTTTTACAGTACAAAACTGAATTTCGTTATTTGAAATTATTGCCTCTCATTGACGCCGGCATCAATATGCCAAGTCTACATCTTTTATTTTGTTAGCACGGTATAAAATAGGAGAAATATAAAAATATTACCCAGCTTAGAATTGGTACGAGTACCTTCCTTGCCACAACGAGGCATACCGGTACGCTGCTACAAACTCAAAACTTGACTCAAAATGCCATATGAGATAGGTATGTAGAGTTCGTCTTATTCGGTGGAAACACAACCGAGACGATGTCTCACTCTTCGATATGCCATTTTTCTTTTATCAGCCATCCAAATAGATGATGGCGTTAGCTTGTTATCGAATCCCAATTCCGTTCGTACTCTCAAGGAAGACAGGGGAAAACCTGAGAACGACGGCCTCATTCAAGCTCCTTCTGCAGTTTTGAGTGATCAGCTGCAAAGAATGAAGAAACGTCAATTTGAGATTATGTGTCAGGAGGAAATAAGGAACGACAATCACTCACAGTTACCAGACAGCGTCCCTCCATCGCTGCCATCGTCCACCTTCGGGGATCGTGCAACTGACGATGATCACACAATGCTCACTATCGATAATGCTGTGACACCGCCTCGCGGAACAGTGCAGCTGTTCAAACAGCCGAAGAGAAATTCGACCAGGAGCGGCAGTGTCTCGAAGCGGAGCTTGATCAGCAATTGCAAACTACTGGCATGATGCATCCAGATGTTGCTTTGACATACAACAAACTTGCACAACTCTATGAGAACGAAGGAAGATATGATGAAGCCATGGAACTGTGTCAAAAGAGACTAGAAATTGAGAAGGAAGTGTTCGGATGCAGTGATCACGAGCGAATGTCTTCTACGTATCATAATATCGGATACGTTCTGGAAAGGCAAGGCAAGCATCCTGGAGCCATGAAGTACTACAAAACTGCTCTTGCAATCAAGTTGGAGGCACATGGACCCAAGCATCCATCAACTGCAGCAACATACCATAACATGGGAAACGTCTTGCGTCTTCAAGGTAGCTATGAGGGAGCCATGGATATTTACAAAAAATCTCTAGAGATCAAGTTGATAGCATATGGACCTGAGCATCCTTCAACCGGAGCAACGTACCATGAGATGGGAATCGTTATGAGCAATCAAGGCCACTATACCAAGGCCATGCGCTATTTCGAAAAAGCCCTCGCGACTGACTTGAAGGCACATGGGCCTGAGCATCCCGATACTGGAGTCACGTACCATGCGATAGGAACCGTTTTGCGCAATCAAGACAGATACGAGGAAGCCATGCAGTATTACCGAAAAGCTCTTGCAATTGATTTGAAGGCACATGGTTCCGACCATCCATCGACTGGAGTCACGTACCATGCGATAGGCAATGTCTTGCGCAATCAAGGGAGCTCCGAGGAAGCCATGGAGTACTACCAAAAAGCTCTTACAATAAAGTTGAAGGCACATGGACCCGACCATCCATCGACTGGAGTCACGATCCATGAAGCAGGAAATGTCTTGCGTAATCAAGGCAAATATTCAAAAGCTATGGAGTACTATCGCAAAGCGCTGGCAATTGATTTGAAGGCCCATGGACCCGAGCATTCGTCGACCGGAGCAACATACCATGACATGGGAAACGTATTGCGCCTCCAAGGCGACTATATGAAATCCATGGAGTACTATCGCAAAGCGCTCGCAATTGATTTGAAGGTACATGGGCCTGAACATCTATCGACTGGAATAACGTACCATGCGATGGGAAAAGTCTTGCGAAAGCAAGCCAACTACGAGGTTGCCTTGGAGTACTTCCAGAAAGCTCTTGCCATTCAACGCCAAAATCTTGGAGAGAGGCATCCAAGCATTGCTGTGATATACTATTGGATTGCCAAAGATTCGATGCACCGTGGCATCGAAGGAGATGCCATGGATAAGTTGAATAGTGCCATTGAGATTCAGATGGAAAATTCACAACAGGATCACCCAGATCTCGCCAAAATCTACATCACCAAGGCTGACCTATTGAAGAATCAATCAAAGTATAGTGATGCAGAGGAAACCTACGACAAGGCCCTTGGAATTCGAAGGAGGTTATTTGGTGACGGACACCCACTTGTGGATGCAGTCGTGCAAAAGAAGACTAAGCTACCAAAAGCAAACGTTTGAAGTAGCTAAGTCTGGAAATTGTACTGTCGCATAATCCGTATTGTACTATTAATTTCGAATAGCAAATATTTGATACCGTGCTTCGCTTTCCAGCACTCTTGCGCCCATCCTCGTCCTGTAAGATTGCGCTCTTGTTATCCTGATACATGATCATATTTTTCTCCTGACTTTCAACAGCGATCAGCTCAGCTTCAGTGCTGCCGTGAATGTTCAATTCTCATATCTTCGATAAATCTTGCATGGTTCCATCGATACCACACCCTCAGTGTGGCTCTTGAAATTTGGATGCATCGCGAATTTTTGAAGTCAATCGGCACGCATGGTCAAACACACCTTCAATGTAGATATCGCATCATGCAAAAACAGTTACGAAACCAGCTGAAGAGCAACTTCATACAGTACTCTGCTTGAGGAAGAATTACGATTTTCCATGAACAAGAACCTGACAAGCACAAAGCTACGCTGTTTAATCTCAGTCCCATTCATAGAGTTAGGGTTGCTTTACACCGCAACGATTGGTGCAATATTTATAGGCTTCCGATTCATTGAGTAACTACAGCACCAGCCGTCTCTACTGATCCCTTGCACCACGACGATCGGTGCAAAAATTATTGCCAGATCCCGGCACAATAGAGTCCTATGCTTTCTTTGTGGATGATCGGCAGCCTAAGGAGAACGAAAAATTGCAAAATTGTTTTCCAAAACGCCTTGAATCGACTCAAAGCTCATAAAGATGATACCCTGTCCTGGCACTACACGGCCCAACCTCTTGTTTTTTTTCAGAAATAGTGGAGCACAAATGTGGACAGAGCGGAATGAAATGTGAGACCACCAGTCCCTCCATATTTGAGCATGTCATGTCTTCTTTCAATAATAACTTACAGGCACGACGCCAGCGTAGAGAGCCGCGACTCCCTCCGATCTCAGAATTTGCTGAAAGCAATCAAGTGTGCTGGTATACTGTGATGACGATGTTCCTTGCATTCTCGTCTTTACCACGTCAAATGGATTATTACCCAAAGTACTGAAGCATCCGGCGCACATTCCGCCCAAGAAAGAAAGAATCGGAGTGATTTGTTTCTCTCCATCGTTTGTAATAATTCTCTTGTATTCGTTGAAGAACATAAATCGAAGCCCCTGATTGGATCCCTGTTTCATTGCAGTAGCAGCAGCGCCTTGATAAATCCCACCAATTCCTTCAGTTCTATTACAGTTTGAAGAAAGGAAGATTAACAACTGTGGGCGCGTTGCTTGTCTAATTGACATTGCTTTCACTGTCTCAAAACTTCACTTACTTCACTATATGCTTCAAGCCTGGTACAAACGCCATGTTCAATTCAATACACTTTCAAGCAGTCGGTTAAGCTTGTTTCAATGCTTGCTGTCTTCAAGGCAAAAGAATCTTATTGTTGTGAACTGCTCGCTTACCTTTGTTTTCACAGTTTCAACTGGAGCGACGACAGCCAATGCTTCTGCAACACCGGCACCGAGGCCAGCGGAGAAGTTGGCTGCGACAGAGATATTGCCATTTCCATCACGCTGAAGCTCTCGAAGAAACGAAACACCGCCAAATCGGATCCCAGCCTTTGGAACGCTGCCAATGAGCGTCGGTGCTAAACCTCGATATAAACTGATGAATCCATTTGTTCGAACTGTATAAACAAGCCCAGACACTATTCCGGTGTACAGTGGTTTGTGACCCTTTGCTTTAGATTGTAGCTGTAACTGCGTCTTGATATCTTTGTTGCAGTGTGGATAGAAGATAGAAGACACAATGTGATGAGAATCATTGTGAAGTCAGTTACAAGGGGCACAATAACCAGCAGTCTCACATTCCATAGGCCAGACGCAAGTTGCTTCTACTGCACCGGCAATACAGCCGGCTGTCATGGCTGTTAAAGGATTCTTCGATTTCTTCGACATTGCTTTTATATACCGTTGCTGTCCAACTTAATGTTGAAAAATGCTGAGACGAACCTGTTTCTCTGCAACGGAACAAAAAAGATTCTCAGGATTTTGAAATTATTGGAATCTGGGAGATGGACAGACTGTTGGCTGCTCATGCTTGTTCGTGTCACAGGACATGCACAAAATACCAACGATTATTCCCTCACAAATTGAAAATCGCCAAAACCTTCTTTGAAACATCTCTTCTCGGTAACCGACCAGAAGGGTTCAAGTAAAGTTGTTGTCCGTTTCAAGATGAGGCAAACCCAATCTTCCAATGGAAGGCGGATGCCAAATCGTAGATTGGATACGTATATCGACCCTGCGGAAAGGGTTACACCCAGGAGAAGTACTACTACTAAAAGGAACTACAACAATAACAGACAACAACAACAACAACAAAAACAACAACAACAACAACAACAACAAGCATACAAGAGTCCTCGGTATACTGCTGGCACCCGTGAATCAGATGTGGTCTTAGAAAAAATCCGTGAGTTTGAAGAGATCGTCAGTACTCCAAAGCAGAGTGCAATGTCAGGTAGACAAAGCACGGGTGATAGACGACAGGCAGCATATGGAAATCCAAGGAGGGGTGCACACAGAAGTGACAAAAGGGAAGCTGCTCCACCAGAAGAGCGCTTTAATAGCGGCGAAGTGCACAACGGCGGCGATGTAGCATTCATTTCTACGGGCTATACTACACCCTCTCGTGTCCGAACCATATCAAAACCAGAGGAGCAAGCATTGGCAGACAACCTGAGTCCACAAGAGTCGCAAGGCGACAGCATTGCCTTTTTTGGCAACCAATCATCACACAAAAAAGTCTTGAGAACACCTGGAAATACAAGGGAAATATCATATTCGGAAAATCATAGGCTCGGGGCTCGACCCAATCCAAATACCCATCGAGCAGCTGGTCTGACCACTCCGAAGAACGACGCGACCAATTTTTTCCAGTCACCCTGCGGGCCAATGGAGCTCAATGTGGGAAGGAAAGAGCCTTCCAAAATCTGGGATTTTCTAGACCCAAAGGACGATGTGACTTCCTCCAAGAATCGGGCTGATAGCATCACGAACCAGAGGAGAGAAAAGCGAGCCATGGAAGGCGCATATCGAGATTTGATGTTGATACCACCATCAAAACAACAGAGGGGACAACCAACGACACCAAGACGGAAGTCTGCCATGAAGGGCGGGAATAAGACTAACTTTCGGACAAAGATGTACGGCGATCGTAGCTTGAATGAAAGCCGCGGGTCTTTCAGTACGACAAACTCAAGTCATGCGAGCTCTGCTGTGCGTGAGGAAACTTGGCGATCGGAAATAGCTTCCTATGGCAACAACAGTTTTGCAAGCGATATTCCGAAATCCAATACAGACACTAGCGCTTCGAATTACTACCCTAGATCTAGTGATCCGCACCAGAAGAAGCATGGAATCATGAAGACGACTGGTAGCTACAAGAGACCAAAACCGGATGGGCAAGAATACTACCCGACAAGTGATGATTTATCGCACAGGCGGGTCCAGTTTTCAAAAGCCACCGATCCAGAAATTCACAAAGAAGCTTCTCCAAACCTGAGTCAATCCATCTTTCATGGATGTGGCGTTGACAACACGCAACAAGCTGATGTATCCTCAAAGCATAGTGACGAAGATGCTCTGGAGAGACAACGACAAGAGCTGTGGGCAGCCAAGCTAAACCAGCTCTTTCCAGCCTCGGCGACCGCTGGTACAGAGAAAGAAAGGACTACTCCACGAGCTCGACGATCAGAGAATACTGCAGCAAAGCTGATTACGGGCGACCTGCGCCAGCTAGAGGAGATCATTCAAAAGCAAGCAAGCGAAAAGAAACAGGCTCAAGAAGAAAATGAAACTTCAAGGCATCCTCTTGCAAGCTCTTCCAGTGAAAGTCGATTTGATCCAATACCAATGTCGAAGAGGAAAAATCATATGTATGTAGCGTATTCAAGATACAGCGAAGATGCAGAGGAGGTTCTGCAGGTGTGTGAGCATACCATGGTTCCGCTTCCAAATCGAAAATCTGGAGAGGTCCTGGTGAAGGTAAGGGCTTCTACTGTTTCTCTATCCGACTGTGAAGCACGGAAAGGCGCAGTGAAAGATATCAAGCTGTCTCCGTTTGTTATCCCAGGCGCATGTTTCTGTGGCCAGGTTGCATTGACCGAAAGGAAATCTGCGTTCTCGAAGATCGGTCCCGGCGACATTGTCATATCTCTTTGTGGTTCTGGATCCAATGCAAGATATCTCTGTATTACAAAAGATGCCCTCGTCAAGGTTCCCAAAAAGATCAATCCAGATGAAGCCGCCTGTTTGGCTGAAAGCTATCTGATGGCATTCCAAGTGTTACATCTCAACCATAAGTCATCAATGAGGTACAAGGACAACTCTATGAGGGGGCAGTCCATCTTGATTATGGTCGGTGGCTTCTCTGATCTTTGCCGAGCGCTGATAGAGCTAACAAATGCTGCTGGAGCAGATTGTTGTTACGTCATTGTTGATGAGAAAGAGTTTTCGGCAGTTTCAAGTTGTGGCGCAATTCCACTCTTGAAAGACCCGCAGCAATGGCTGACATTGGTTGGAAAGCAGATTGATTTATTGATATCTTGCAACGACCATGGTTTGCGTACTGAAAAGATCACACGAGACCATTTGAAGGCTCTGAATAATGAAGGAGAGATTATTCTTTTTGGAAAACCTGGGGACAAAAAACTCCCATTCTTACATCTCGAGACCAATGGTCCATCAAGGCTTATTTGCAAATCCAATCATCGGAGCGTTAAAGATCGTTCCCAGCTGTACAATGTTTTTGATGCTTGGGGGAAAGACATGAAACAGTGCAAAAAAGACTTGGAACACCTTCTAAAGCTTTTGCAGACAAACAGACTTCGACCACCAATTCTGCGAAGGCTACCGCTAACCAAGGTAGCCACTGCACATTCAATTGTGGAGTCCAAGATATTGCCAGGATTCCTTGTTTGTTTGCCATGGGTACATGAAAGAGGATCAAGATACTCCCGGAGTTTCTCCGGCAGTGATAGATTGGAAGTGTAAGTGACACGGATTCCCAATCGAGATTTTGAAGGAACTTATTTCAAGCAGTGCAGTGATAGATTGGAAGTGCAAGTAACACGGATTCCCAATCGAGTTTTTGAAGGATTATATTCCAAGCATTGTAAATAGCCCAGAAGTGGTTCGATGCGATCCCTGCCTGTTCGACTATCATAAAGCTCTTTCTTCGATTGAAGAGCCTTGGTTTCAAATGAAAAAAGAGTCGGACAACTGTAGGTAGGGGCGGGTAGACTAGCTTTTCAAAATGTCCTGAGAGTGCATCAAAGTACATCAATGTATGAAGGGTAATGATACGCACTACGATGTTTCATGTGATTAATGGCCGCAGCAGCGGTCCAAACAAGGAGGATCAGAGTTGGACGACAGCAGCAGTCCAATGAGTGGTCGAGCATTGCAGCGATCGAGATGTTCACGTCATCTCAGTTTGTTTTTAAAGCCCAATTAAACTTCCCTTACGAGTATTTTTGCAACCTTGTTTCAAATAGTATATCATACTGGCGCCATCCAATACTAGCCCGCCCGAGGAGGCTCTAAGATTTGCATACTTCGGTTTGGCCAACCTGAGGAGGAAAAATACTTGATGGCCATGCGCGTGAACCATGCAAAAGTCGACTGAGCTCTTCCGTTAAATCATCTTTCTTACATGGCATTGGCTTGAGAAGAAAGAAGTCCGCTCCAACTCTAAGGAAGTCGCCTTCCAAGTCGTTCGCAGACAAACCACAAATTCGACTCTTGACTCCCAGAGATCTCAAGGCTTGAATGGTTTCGGTGCTGTGACACACAATTTTAAAACTGTGCAGTTTTAAAACTGAGTGACGCAGTTTCAAAACTGAGATTATGGTCACAGCAATCTTAAAACTGGCACAAGCCAGCCACGCCCCAACCTTGGTTCCCACTATTTCTGCAGAGGTTGTTATCTAAAGCGGTTCTGATTCTGTACTGTGGTGGTGGAAGCTACCAGGTACGAAGACAAGCAACCCCTCCGTAGTTGTAGGTCCAGCCCAGCACTAAAAACGCAACCTCAGTTTTCATCTCTTGTGCTGCCGTAGCATGGACTCATCGTTTTCAGAGTCAATTCTTGCTTTCATATGAAGAGGAAGAAAGAGTTCTTTGAGATGTCCTTAAGTGGCCCATCTGTAGTAGATGACGAGAATCCGCAGACTCACTCTTCATCGAGGGAGAAGAAAAACGATCTCCAAAATGTCCACAAAAGAGCAAGTTGGATATTATGCAATAATTCATTTTTCACTAGGGAATCTGGAGATAGTTGTTCCTATTTTCGATTTCTAACAAGAGCATAGGTGGAAAACGAATCTCGATTTATATCACGTAAAACTGCTTTAACCACCTCAATTTATATCGCGTAAAACTGCTTTAACCACGAGAACGACAGCCTGAAAATATGCAGCAAAATGGCTTTTACAGGATATCCCAAACTAGGTCACTTTTGAATTTCGATATATATGATAACATAATATAATACCATACCGAACATCACATCTGACTGCACAATGTCTGTGGGTACGCGGTATTTCCGGAAGTTCGTAAAATGACTACGCCCGTCAAGCCACCACTTCTGAGATTGTGAAAGTTTTTTAGCTTTCTCAGTTTTGAAACTGCGTCACTCAGTTTTAAAACTGCACAGTTTTAAAATTGTGTGTCACAGTGCCCAACAATTGTTTGTTGACAGACGCCATATACATGTCCATGAAAATCAAATCGAACTCGTCTGCCTCAACCAGTCTCAAAGCAGTTTCCCCATTCGCAGCTTCCTGAACGTTCCAGCCCGGGGCAACCCTCTTCACGGCCCTAGCAAAGAGCTTCCGAACCATGTTGTCGTCATCAACAAAAAGAACTTTCAAGGACTCCGGAAGCGCAGTTGGAGCCAGCTCGTTGGGCTTTTCATTTGCAACGATTAAAGCCTCAGATGCCGCTTCTTCAAATTGTCGCGTTTCGATTTCATACACTACACTGTCTTTGGTTCCTTTTTCGTCCTGCTTTTCAAATGATTCAAGCCGCACCTGCGGTTGGTTCAGAGCAATCACAAAGCTCACTCCAGGGCTGCCCACCACTCCGCTTTGGAACGAGTCGTCCAACGATATTTCACCTCCCATTGCATCAATAAGGCTCTTGCATAAGCAAAGCCCAACCCCAGTTCCTTGACTCAACATATCAAGGCTGCTTTGGAATTTCTGAAAGAGTGCTTGGCGTTTCTCTAGCGGTATTCCAGGACCAGAATCTTCAACATACAAACAAACCATCCCGTTTCTGACATCGGCACGAAGACGGATGAAACCATGGTGAATGAACTTGGCCGAATTCCGAACCAGATTCAAAACAATTTGTTTGAGTCTCAAGCTGTCTGTCATGACAATCAAATCATCTGGGCAGTCCACAATGAATTCATAGTCGGCATCTCGAGATCGAACCATTGTATTAATAGGCTCGAAAATGCAAGTCTTAATATCGATAGGACTAGCTTTCAGTTGTAGCTTGTCAGCATTGGCTCGGTGCATGTCAAGCATGCTTCTCAGAAAGTCATTGATAAAAGTCAAGCAGACATCGACGATGTTGATATCCTCCTTGAGTGCCTTGAGCGTTTCCCCTTTTTTGCTCAGAGTTCGTTCAAACTCTGGTGCCCCATGCTTGGACTCTACTTCCTTGGCCAGGTCGTCTGCTGCAGATGCCACAAACTGCATACTGACCATAGCCGCGGCCAGTGGGTTCCGCACCTCATGCGACAAGAACTCGTTGAGCTCGCGTTCCGTCTCGGCAGCCTTTTCAGCATTATCAATGGCAATTTGCAGCACCAATTGTTGACGTTGCTCGACAACGTACACAAAGAGCAAAAACACAATAGATGTGAACAGAAAGGCAGCGAGAACGACGGTCAAGAACACCAATGGGCGATTCGTTGTAAATGCATCCTTGGTCACAGCAGATGCATATACTCGGATTTTGTATTGCCCAAAGTCTTCGTTGAGTGGCACTGTGGTGTAGGCGCGAGAGGAGGGAGCAGCGTGACGTCGAAGGTACCTGTTCACATCAGCAGAAAGTTCAAGATAGTCAAAGCTTTCGTCATGTAGGTCATCCATTCCAAGGAATTCTACCGACGCGCTGTCAATTTGGTAAGTGAAGGTCTGATTGAACGAGTTTTCAATGACGCAGAAGATCCCCTCTACTGATGTAACAGAGTTTTGTAGAATGAGACTCCAATAGAGTGGCGCAACAAGGACACCAGCCAATGTCCTATTTTTCGTGAATCCGTCAAAGACTGGGTATGTCAAAAAGCTAGCTGGATCATTCAAGTACGCTTCCACGTCATTGCGGAATTGTGAAATTTTAAGGGATGCCTCAAGCTGGGCTCTCCCACTTGGAATTGGCACGATCGCCCAGTTGAGGACTGCCTCATTGCTCCTCTGCACAATGGGCAAGACCCCTTTCAAAGCGTTCGTCCTGGAGAAGTCTAAGTTTAGAATTCTCTGCTTTGCACCGCTTACAGGGCTGATATGGATACGATTAACAAAGTTAGGCAGCTGCATGTAACGCAGTTACAAGAGAATCCGATTGGTTGAGCGTCGACGTACCTCCTCTGCCAAATCGGAAGATATGGTCCGGTATTATTGGGCTGATCACCTTGAGGCTCCAAAGCTCCATTGCTAAATATCTTCATGTGGTAACCCGACCCATCATCTACAACGGTGTTGTTTCTTGGAGCAGGTATTTCCTCTGTTGCTTCCTCTGAACCATCAGCGTCTTCTTCTTCCTGCTTATTATTCTGAAGAAATCTAACATTGCCATCGGCAGCGACATCCGCAAAATCCTTGTCTTGCTGCGTACGCTGTTGTCTATCGAGTTGAAATTCCTTGTCTATTTGTCCCCTCTCTTCGAAAGCATACTCTTCCCATCTCTCTCGATCCGCATCCGAAACAAGCGGAAGCCAGTGAAAGACGTGAGCCCCAGACAGAATTCTCGTGTCCGCTCCTCGAATAGAAAAGTCGGGAAGCGTCACAAATGGAAAATCATTTCCAGTCTCAATGGAATACGATGTCAACGCATTCGCAAATGAGTTGAAAGCTCCCAACCTGTAATCAATGGCGTTGTGGAAGGATTCGACTAGCTTGAACGCGTTGGCTTCAAAGTTGCGTTCAAACTCCTTGATTTCTTCCTCTAGAGCATAATCGTAGGCCAACACGCCAACAACAGTTGCAGCAATCACCAGCACGATCAAAACTACAAGACGGAGGCATCGCACTGCTCTTGTTTCATAGTGAGCAAGAGATGCTTCTTCTTCTGCGGAAGATGACAGGAACTTGAAACTTTTTGTGGGCTCGATTTTGCTTCTTTGCAGCGTTGACGTGCTTCTCTTGCTCGTGTCGAGGATCATCTCTTGATCATTCCTCATGCTATTTGATAACTGTGCTTCCATGATATAGTATTCGTGTTGTCATCTCTTCAAGCTCTATCGAAGATAGCCAACTGGCGCCTTCTTTTCTGTCAGTATACTTGCACACAAGTTCGATATGTGTAGATCGGACTTAGGTTGCTGGTTCAATACTGAGATGACGGTCGCCCTACCGTCGTTCATGGAGTCACTATTGAGTCCATTGGTTCGACCGCTTTCTTCCGTCTACGTTAGAGCAGTTTGCCGACGGACAACATGGTGGGCTATTGGTGGTGCGATGGAGCAGTTTTTAAATATATTGTTACCTGCTTCTGGTTCAAATGGTTTGTCCGTGACGAACATAGGGAATTATGGAAGGGCTTATTTCCACGACAGATTATCCGGACTCCGATGCTCTCCTTGTAAATTGGGTTTCTTGCTATATAGATCATAATAGTTGTCAGTTGTCAATTCAGAAAGGCAACAACTACCTGGTACCGGTAGGAAACGGAAACGTCACATTGAACATGCAGGGACAGTCAGGAGAGTAGGTAGTACACTGCTGTATGGTTTTGAGTTCCTCCAAAAATAGCTTTCTGAATTCATCCGGTACCGGTACCGGCCCAGCCAGACGATTACTTGTTGCTGCAGGAAGAAAAGTGAACTTGCACAAACGGTTGAGTAAAAAAGAGTGATGCCGTGTTGAAAACTCAAGATGTACTATATTATGGTAACTTCCGCAAATTCAAAACCCGCTCGCCGAATGTCATGCTGTTGGTGGGGTGAGTTTTCAATTTCCGCCAGAATGTTGCCTACAAAAGCATTATCGTCTGCATCGTCGTGTCAGACGCGAGGGATTGTTTGTTAGTGAGGTGAAAACATGATAGGATCTGACAGTCAAGCGACATACTAGAGTGTGTGACTCCGGTCAGCTCATTGAATGATTCTTCGCTCAAATTGCATGATTGGATTTAGAGCGATGCATTTCGGCGGTCAAGATGTTCACGATATCTGTAATCTATTCAAAGCCTGATTCCCTTGCGAGTATCCTCGCAATCTTTGTTTTCAAATAATATTCGAATTAATACTGTAGTTGACATGCCCCAACTTACTACTCTTTCTCTTTTTTCATTCGAACGAGTCATGGACAGTGGTCGGTGTCGTGTCATTGCATTTGTCTCAAACCTGATACCGGTACAGTAGCTGACATCGTTATGAAGCAAAGGTAGATCCGACCATCGTACAGTATTCGACTGTTTCAAAAAATGAGACATTCTTCGAATGACACCTCAGAAGAGCAGGAGACCCCAACATGGCCGACAGAGACGACGATGGAACGGATCTGGTTCCAAATGCATCACAGGGTTTGCCAGTTTTGGCTCCAATATACGTCCAGCATGACAAGGCGGCTGTTGGAGCACGCATTGCTACTTTGTGCCATATTATGCTTTGGAATCCTGATCATCATGCACAAGAATTTTGTGTTTCGGTTGAACCAGAGCAATTGCGCAAGCTCGTGCTTATCAAGCTATACCCAAGAAGCGGATGTCATTTATCTTGGCGTGGATTCGCGACTGAATCATACCATGTCAATTGTAGAAAGGGACGCCAATTGCAAAGATATTCACTCGATGTCTTGTACAGGAGAGAGGGAAGTCGGTGATTTCAATATTGAATATTCATATTCTAGTCGAAAAGGATATCTATTATTGGACGATGATGACCCTATTACCGAATCACTATCTGTCCAATACATCATCGTTAGTCCTCATGACTTGCAGTGCTTCGGGGATGGAACACTGCAGTTTTTGGCATGGGAGCTCGGAATGGGATGGAACACGATTCTTATGAACTGGCTACTCGTGTTCAACAAGCCAGACGAAATTGCATACGTTCGGCATACCAAGACTGAACGATTGCAAGAGCTACGCATTCCCTCTGTCAAAGCATCTGGTTTCCAGTCCTTTGTAAAAACTGCAATTTCAAAATTGAGTGTTTTGATCCAGACATTTTTCTTATTTTTCTTCTGCACGACACTTGTGAGCTTTACTCTCAATGAAACGCAAGAGAGGATGCTTCAGTTCACACAGGAGCTCAGCCGACTGGTTGCTCGGAATCTTCCGATCAATTTCTTGGTAACGACGCATGTCTTGGATTCCTTCATTTTCTGCCCTCTCATGGTTGGTAAATTCTTTTTCCTGATCGAATTTTACAAGGGCGATCGATTCTTGGCATTTCTATTTATGAGCGTCGTTTGGTTTGTTGAAGTTTTCACAGTTATGAGGTAAGGAGGCTCGCACTCACACTTGTCCCAAAAGTTTCGCTTCTGATTCTGCGATATGTTGTTGTACTTTAGCCTTCGCAGTTATCACGGAATCACCTACTTTCCGAGGATTTTCTTCCTTCTCTTCTGCCTTTTCCACATCTACTATTTCGCAAATCCATCCATCGGTTTTTCATATCTTGCTTTTGCAGTGATAGTCCTTTTCATTATACACAGCATGATGTTTTTCTGGCATCGATACGAACTACCAGCAGTTGCATTCGGCTACATCAACATGCAAAGGCCTCGAGCTAATGCGGCATTTCATCAAGGGCCGCATGACCTGCCAAGGCCCCCCCGAGTACGCCGAGTTTTCCAAGTTTCGTTTGATGCAATGATTTCCTCCGATACGAGTCTGTTCAGAACGGCACCTTCGAGTTGATAGGATATTGCAATTGCACTACAAGGCAAATAGAGGCTGCATTCCTCAGTCTTGGCAGGTTTCGTTGAACGGAAGCATCGGAAGGGACTACGAATTTCTGGTTTTGATCGAGAGCACAAATTTATTGTCCCATGGAGGTCGACTCATTCTCGTCGAGTGGCCAAGAAGCTGTGGTCCCATTACGAATAGCCAAGTCGAGGCATTAGTATGGTCTCATAGTTGAACTAGATGCTTCCGCACAAGGGATGTCAATCAAAAGTAGCAGAAGTCGAGCGACAAAATCGAATAACCCCAGAATTAGTTCAGCACTATTATTGTTATTAGTATTACACAGTCTTGAAAACACAACTGGTCAATCAACCCCATCGTACAGCTCGGCTTCGTGCTGCTTTTTTGATTTCCTACCACGTTTTTTCTTTGGTCGGACATCTGCATGTAAGTCTTCCTCCTGATCTTTTTCGGCATCCTTTTCTTCCATCCGATGAAACAAAGGAGGAACTTGATGCATTGCAACGCTTGGTGCACCTCGCAAACCCTTCAGTTGTTGTAACAGGTCGGTACGAATGTTGTCAATATCAGATTTGCTGTTCAAATCTGTCATATTTTCAGGTTTCAAATGTAGCTTATAAGTCGGCGCAAAGTACTCATAGTAATCGTGATAGGGAATATCGTCGCAAATGTCAGGTTTGTCCACAAGTACTGCCGTCTCATAACACCAAACTCGTGCAACGTTTCGAATTGTGTATCCACCTCCCCCTAAGACTAATGTTGGAATACTTTTGGATTTGACGTATTGAACCATTGTTGCATGACCTTTGGTGGTGAGGTTGAGTGTTCCTAGTCTGTCGGCTGCCAACGAATCTGCGCCACACTGCAAGACGATGGCACTTGGCTGGAAGACTTCCATAATCTTGTCAAATATTGGCTTGAAGAGCTGATCGAAATACTTTTCATCTGATATTCCATTATTCAGAGGGCAATTCAAGGAGTAACCATCTCCGGCTTTTGCTCCCTTTTCTCGATTACTTCCTGTGCCTGGAAAGAAATCTCCATACTTGTGCAAACTGAATGTCATGACTCGGTCAGAAGTGTAAAACGCCTCTTCCACTCCATCACCGTGGTGAACGTCAATATCGACATACAATACTCGAGCATGTACCTTCAAAAGTTCGACAATTGCAAGCACAATATCGTTTATATAGCAAAATCCAGCGGCCTCCGCCTTGTGAGCATGGTGAAAACCTCCTGACCAGTTGATGGCAATGTCATACATATCCAAACACAGCTGTACAGCTCCATCAATCGACGCCCCAGAAGTAATTTGATTGAATTCGAATAGACCTTCAAATACAGGACAGTCCGCTGTTCCTCCAACGTTGAAGCGTTGAATATTTGCTGCATGCTGCCTTCCATTATCGGGCGTTATTTTTCTCAAAAACTGGACGTATTCCTCGTCATGAAAGTATTCACTCATCACACCAGGATCAGCCGGCTTGGGATTAAAGCAGTCCAATCGCTTGTGTAATCCATAATTCAGTATCAAATGATGGGTTAACTTTAGTCGGTGTGGTTTCATCGGGTGGGCGCTGCCAAAATATACCAATGGCTGTAATATTGAGAAGGGTAAAGACGAGGGTTGAGACTCTTTCGTCAACCGCAACAAGAAGACCAAGTTCATCTTCTAGACTCACCATCTCCTGATCATAGAAGTATGATACCCGCTTCTTCCCCATGGTTAGAGGTGCAACAATCTCATGAAGTGTAAAAGAGCTGAAGTTGAAAGTGTCAAGCAGAAATCAACGCTCCAAAATAAAATCGTACGAGTCGAATATTATCCGACGCATTCGATTAAAAACATGTTCGGAACAAAAATGGCGGATCACTATTCCATTTAGCGTTTCATACTATGCACATGTACCTACAAACAAACAAGTGGTTTCCCCAACCGACAGCATAGAAATAGCAAACTCACAATTAAGTCAATCTTAGATTTTCAGAGAGGAAAGATGAAGGTCAAGAGTAAACTCAAGAAGAGCAAGAAGAAGGAAGCCAAGGATAATGAGAAAGCTCCAACTGACGACGATGGTGATGTCGTATTAGAGCGTCGTCGTACTTCAACATTCCAGTCGTTGAGAGAAAAGGTTGGAGGCAACAAGAGGAAGAAACCGAAAAAGTCAAAGAAGAAAGTTCAACCTTTGACAGAGATTCTGGACGATTCCAAAAGGGAGTCAGACAACAACATTTTACGACAGTATCTTGGGGTCGACAATTATGGTATGTGTTTGTCACATCCAGGTGAGCCCGTCATTCGGAAGACAGAATCTGGTGAGGAAATCAGCACTTGCCAATGCTGCGCATCGTATGATGATGGATACAGAAGAGTTGTCCAGCAGCGCATTCTACAGCGACGGAACTGGGATATCACTTCCCTTCCTTTGAACCGATGTCCTTTCTTTTCGAAATACTTTGCCATGATGGATTTAAATGTACCAATGGAAGACGTCCAGAATAGTTGCTTTATCGATCGACATCACCCGCTAGTATTGGAATTGGATCCAGAAGAATGCATAGCACGACAGGGTGTACCAACACTGCAAGCAACTGTCGAACAAGCGAATGAGTACTTTATGTATACCCCACTGATTGAGAATGAACAGCAAGTGGGGAGCATCATGAAACGCCGAGAGATATCAGAGAGTGTAACAAAGGCCATTGACAAATCAATGATGCAGTTCCGAGCTAAACAACGGTCCACCTTTCGCAAAGGAGTTACCAAGATGATAAGAGTCAATCGGTTCCTTGGTGCTGCCAAACGAGAGGACGATTTGATTTTTGATGACAGCACGATAGAGGGACAGTACAACAACAGTCTCCGAATGAATCTTGGAATGGACAATTTTGGCATGTGCTTGCGACACCCCAATATTCAAATCTGTTCGAAGCGCTGCACCAAGAAACTGGCGCCAGTTCAAATCTGTCGCATCTGCAAGTCAGAGAGATTGGCAGGAGGGAAATATGCACAACCTAAAGAAGTTGGAGCTATTGTCAATCAGATCCAAAAGCTACAAAGAGACAAAAAAGCTTGGCATCAGCGAACAAATGTATTGTACTACGGAAAAGACTATGATGCTATTCACCCTTCCACACGCGATGAATCTTCGGAACGAAAGCCAATTGCACCGAAAAAGCGGAAGATGACCTCAGAAGAGTGGGAGCAAGGGATCCGACAACGTGTGAAGCAAGTTCAAGCTTGGGACTCGAGCAATTCATTGCGAAACAATCCAGTCTATGCCAAATACTTTCGACTTCTGGAAATTGGGGTCCCATTCGAAGCGGTCCAGCAAACCGCTATACTAGATGGATTGAATGCGGATGTGCTTGAACTAGATCCCGACGATTGCCTTGAGAACCAAAAAGAGAAACTTAGTGCTGACGTCCTGGAAGAAGTTCGGGCATTGATACCCGACGACACTACTCTTGAAGACTTGGAAAATACTGTTGAAGCTGTTGATGAAGCCTTTGATAAGCGACTGCTGACAACAAAGGTGGCTAAAGCCAAAGACAAAAGCAAGAAATCGGCGGTGAAGGTGGAAAAGAAAGAGAAGAAAAAGGTTGCGAAAAAGGAGAAAAAGGAAAAGAAGAAGGCCGCGAAGAAGGAAAAGAAGGAAATAAAAAAGAGGCGTAAGACCATGTCAAAAGAGGCTATTGAAGATGCCAATAGCCTCGATCAAACCAGGGTAAAGAATCTGGCTTTACCTGTATTGAGCGAAGACCAAGCGGTCGGAAAGACTGCTAAGCAGACAGAGGATCAGCATCAAGCCATAGCCAGACTGCAAGCTGAACTTGCAGAAAAAGACGCTATTATTGAAGCGTTACGACGGAAAGAACAGGAAGCATCCATCACCAAATCCTATGATTCTAACGACGAAGAAATAGAATGTTAACCTAATAAAAGAATCTATTGATTATGGTCTTACACTTTCTTTCGCACCCCATTGGCGGACAAATGTAGAGGACTGCAAAATGTGTTGTTTGGAAGCTTCCATATTATCCATGTGTTCCTTGTAAAAAGTACCCAATCTCTGGTGGAGCAAAGCTGCGTCTTGGAATAGCTCTGCCTCTGAAACATTCAAAATGGCCTCTTTGTATTTCTTGCGAGCAATCGCCAAGTGTTGACGACCCTCATTAACTAGCTGTATTTCTGCCTCGAGCGCCATCAAATGATGTGCAGCATTGGGATTTCCCTTTTTATTGTACTCCTTTGTGATTGAAAGCATCTTTTTCGCATGCTTCTTGTAGTTCTCATTTTCACTTTTCTGGGCGACCTCGCAGAGCGAGATTCCCATGTAAAAAGGTAAGACCATCAAAAGTGGATGCCCCTTCAGTGTCTTGAAAGTATGGTCGCTGTTATCCACCGCATTATCGGCAGCCTTCTGATGGTTGCCTTGGAGAGTATATAGCATTGCCTTTGCACTATGAAAATTGCAAAGAACGTCTTCATCCTTTGTTTGAAGAACATACGTCATGATTTCCTCTTCGTTCATGCCTCCAGGAGCAACTGGTAGTGATCTATCAACGGGAAGAAGTTTCCTAACGACGTACCACCAGATTTGACAGGTGGCTTCCCATTTGACTCTGAAAAAAGAAAAGAGATCCAAGGCGGCATGGTAAGTTGGTTTCGACACTACAGCAGGTTGTCACTTTATGAATTGTTTTCTCTCGTACCGATTATATCGCCGAAGTTGATTCACGTAGTAGCAAAGTTCTTTGTTCAAAATGGACAATTCTCTGCCACTCAAAAATGCCAGCACCGCATAATTGCTGATCGCTTGTGCGGCAATGTCGATGTCCCCACCTTGCATGGCGAGTTCGTAAGCCCTTCGTAGAGGTGCCAGCAGGTCCGAGAAACGGTGGGCCCACGGCAACACCACGAAATGAGACAAGCAAATTGTCTGGGCTTCCAATGCCTTTTGGACCGCACTTGCTTCAAAGGTCCGTGTCCAAAGAGTCATAGAATAGTTGGCATAGGCAATGCCAGCTTTGCTGTCATCCAAGGCTATCACCATCAAGACCCCCACCAGCGCGTGGACCATTGGCGCGTAGATACTAAGCCCATACTTTTGGAACAACTCGACAGACTTAAGAACTACCAATGGAAATCGGACATCGCCTGCCAGGTAACAGAAATTGGCACATGTTTCCAAGAGTTTCATGGCAGCCAGTTGGATCGGTTTGTCCATGACAGGTACCTTCATTAGCGCACGCGAGTTTGGTTTGACGCTTGCCTTGGACTTGGATTGAGACTTGAGTTTCATAAGTCCCTTGGTGACGGTTACACCTTGGACCAAGTCTTTTGTTGGAAACTTCATTGCCAAATCACTTGCCAGCAATTGGAAGCATCTATTTGCCCCCTGCTGTGCAATGTGAGTGGCATTCGGGTTGATGGAACAGGAGGACAACAAGCCAGAAAACTGAGTTTGGTGGATCATGAGTTTCTCCAGAAAGCCCTGCTTGTCTTCTACCAAGAGGTGACTTGAAGCAACACGAAGCCCAACATCATTGTTGGTATATGCAGATACTTGCATCCACAGTCGATATAGAGATTGCTCTAAGGTTTGGTGGTGATGTTTCTTGGTCGCTGCTGCCTGTTTGAGAGCTCGAATGGCTTGGCACAAGTAATGGCCTGCCGCCAGCAAAGATCCCGATTGGATTGCCCGTAAGGCCGCCTGTTGGTTCAACTTGGCCACATTCGCAGTCTTGATTTCCTTTTCCGGAATGACTCCAGCCACATTGTGTAGGTCCGCGATGAGGTAGATCCAGTATTCCTTTTGTTGTTCCGACAAGGCATCGACCAATCCAGTCGCAATGACTCGAAACCATTCTTCCTGATCCACTTCCTGTGTCACCAAATATAGCGCCGCCCGAATGAGTTGTGAATTGGCCCAAACCATTGTCATTTTCATTGGTTTCCATTCCAATATTCCTTGACCAATGAGACGGGCCAAATGATCAAAGAGGAGATGTGCATTGGGTGCCATCTTGCTGCGTTTCGGCGCCAAACCCTGGTTGGCCAGCAACGCATCATAGACAATTTCGAGTAGATCCAATGGTATCGGATCCATTCCCAAACAGGCTGCCAGCTTGGCCACTTGCAAATCCACTGGTGACAAGGTGGCTAATAATAGAAGGTGAGGAGACTGATGATCATTCATCTTCTTGGTGGTGGTGGTGGTGGTAGTAGTCGGAGGCGAAGATGGTAGTACTGGACTCGGAATGCTGCTGCTGCTGCTGCTGCTGGTCGGTGTCAATGATAGTAAATTCTGCGGCGACGACGACGATGACGATGACAACGACGACAACATGTCAATTTCGGTAAGCTCGAAATCATAATGCGGAAGCCTCTTGATGCCCATTTCACGACAATAACTCAAGGTTGCCAAGAGATCATTCTTCTTCTTTTGTGGCATGATAGCAGTAGCAGTAGTAGATGATGATGACGATAATAATGATGATTCTGTGGAATGTCGATTGTTGTGTAACCAATAGTAGTTTTGCTGTTGCTGTTGCTGTTGCTGTTGCTGTTTTTGTTCTTGTTGTGTTGATGATGGTGGTAGTGGCGGTGGCAAGGTAGTAAAACACAAGACAAACAAAATACTGTTGCTGCTGTTGCTTCCACGACCATTGCTAGGTGTGGCTGCCAACAAGAAATCCAAAAGACCCATCGAGGCTGGATCCAAACATTGCAAATCGTCCACCACCATTATGAGAGGCATTGTACTTGCCACAATATCCAAGAACGCTTTCATGGCCGATTGGAATTGATATTGATAAGATCCAGCCACGGTGGGAGACTTGCGAGTCCACGTATCCGGTGTGGGCGCAAATGTGGCCTTTGGAGTGGCGTTTGGAAAAAAGGCTTGCAAGGAAGGAAAGGTACGGATCAATATGGTTTGTTCCTTGGGGGTGAATTGATTGCTTTGTTCTTCCAGTGCCAACGCTAGGAGTGGTTCGTGGTAGTGGTAGTGGTTGTGACTCTTACTAGTAGTTGTGTTGGATGTTGGTTCGTCGTCGGCAACAGTAGCAATCGTGGAGGAACCGAATGACGTGGACGCTTGTAGTTGCAATTCGTCGCAGCCTCCAGAACTACCAGCACTACCAAAATGCTCCGCGAGTTGTTGCATCATGTTGGAAAATACCTTCAAGGGTTCCATACTCATACTGCTGTTATTGAAATGATGATAATACGATTGACTGCTAGTACTGGTGGCGGTGGTACAAGATGGACCCCCATATAGATAGATTCGATTGCTGTCTCCATCAGCACTACCAGAAGAGGATGATAAGGATTGGCAGAGTAAGGTCTTGCCCGATTGTGTTGGACCCGACACTACGACCAATTGATGCAATCGTGTGTGAACATTGTCTCGGCCGTACAAAGGACTTGTGCTCGTTGCTGTTTGATTCGTCGTGGTTGATGTTTCATCAAACTGCCGTACAAGTATCCGATCCCAACACTGATCCAGTAGTATCTTTTCTCGTTGCATCAACGGAGTAGTAGTTGTTGTAATTGTGGTAGCAATATTCGTTGCAGTAGTAGTAGCAGCTGTTGCAACATTATCGCAAATAACGGAAGGTGGCGAAGATGCAAACGAGGCAGGTGTGGACAGCGGTGGTGAATCCAAGGAATTGCAAATGGACGACGTTTCCACTCCATTGTGTGGATTCGTCGTTGCCGTCGTCGTTGTTTGAATGGTTAGATTCA